GAGTTGGTCACTTGGTTGTTGACGCCCATACCGAAGACGATCATGACGAAGGTGCCGAGGAACTCGGCGAAGCACTCGCGTAGATGCACGCTCTGCACGGCGAAACGCTGGAGACCTTGCGGTTTGGATGTTGAGAAGGACGTGGCTGTCTTTGGGGTGGTAGGCATAGCGGCGTAGCCGCTCTCGACCTTGTCGACTAAGTCGTCAAAGGGCTGCGAGGCGGTAGTAGCTGTGGCCGGAGCCACGTCGGGTGTGGTCATGGTTGCGGATGGCAGTGGGGCCATGTCAATTTGAGTTTGGTTGAATGTTGTTGTGCTTTGCTTGACCAGTTGATGGTAAAATGCAGAATGGTCGGATGTAACTTAAGCATTGTCACGGTGGTTTGACGGCACCTCTCTTCAGTATCAAGCGCCGATCTGTGACGAGGAAGCTGCAGCGACAAGAAGCGGCGATTATTTGATTGTTAATTTCGGATAATTTCTAAGCGTTCGGATTATGTTCGTTTCTATCGAGATGACTTGGTTGTTGTATGGTCTAATGTGGCGTGCCTTGGTGTGTACCTAATGCGTTTTTCTGCTTCGGGTGCGATATCCTGTGGAGCCTCCAAGCAAGCAAGTCGACGTCAAGAGGCGACCCACTGAACAACTTTCTCACCGAGCTAGTTGTGGCATCGCGAACTTGGTGAGGTTGATGCGATGTTATGGCCTTTTAATCGGTATGCACACGTCTGGACACGATGTAGGGTGGGAGGATGCAGCAATTTTAATAAAAAGAAAAACTGGCACCCGTGTCACGTCGGATAGGGCTGTAATAGCCAGCAGGTTGATATTGTAATGCGGGATCACCACATTTAGCAACAGGGTGGAATGTAACCAGGTACAATCGAGAGATGAGCACTTAGTTTATGCTTCAGTTTTTTTTTTAGCAAGCGAGTGTCGCCGCTGTATCATGCCGCGTCTATGACAGAGGGTTGTTTGACCTAAGTCTTAGCTACGGCTGCATTGCGCTTATCCCGCGTTGGCGAGCTGCTTACTGGGTGGCGCAGTCTCCTCCATCAGTTGCATGTATAGCAGACAGCTCTGCAGTCTGTTAAGTGGTCTGACTGCTTTCCAGCTCGATCTTTGCACTTTAGCATCGTGCTCAATTGGTGAGCGGAAATTTGCACACCAGTTCATGCATCCATATAGTTTGATAGCGCTACGTCTTCGCCAGCACAACCATGAAAATGTATGCTACACTGTAATGTCTGCCAGCCAACCAATGCCTCTGACGAACGTGTCTTACTCCTGTGACGGTATCCAACGCCTACAAGAACATGTAAACCATGTTGCCGCCGGATTTCATCGCACCAGGCAAGCCTACACAGGGCATTGCTGAAAAAGATTTTCGGTGGACGCCTCTTGACGTCGACTTGCTTGCTTGGAGGCTCCACAGGATATCGCACCCGAAGCAGAAAAACGCATTAGGTACGCACCAAGGCACGCCACATTAGACCATACAACAACCAAGTCATCTCGATAGAAACGAACATAATCCGAACGCTTAGAAATTATCCGAAATTAACAATCAAATAATCGCCGCTTCTTGTCGCTGCAGCTTCCTCGTCACAGATCGGCGCTTGATACTGAAGAGAGGTGCCGTCAAACCACCATGACAATGCTTAAGTTACATCCGACCATTCTGCATTTTACCATCAACTGGTCAAGCAAAGCACAACAACATTCAACCAAACTCAAATTGACATGGCCCCACTGCCATCCGCAACCATGACCACACCCGACGTGGCTCCGGCCACAGCTACTACCGCCTCGCAGCCCTTTGACGACTTAGTCGACAAGGTCGAGAGCGGCTACGCCGCTATGCCTACCACCCCAAAGACAGCCACGTCCTTCTCAACATCCAAACCGCAAGGTCTCCAGCGTTTCGCCGTGCAGAGCGTGCATCTACGCGAGTGCTTCGCCGAGTTCCTCGGCACCTTCGTCATGATCGTCTTCGGTATGGGCGTCAACAACCAAGTGACCAACTCGCAAGACGCCAACGGCACGTGGCTCAGCATCAACATGTGCTGGGGCATTGGTGTGCTCATCGGCGTCTACTGCTCTGAGGGCATCAGTGGTGCCAACCTCAACACGGCCGTGACACTGGCGCACTGCGTGTACGGCCGTCTGCCGTGGTGGAAAGCTCCCGGTTACATGATCTCACAACTATTGGGTGCCTTCTGCGGAGCCTTCATCATCTACGTCATGCAGTACCAGAACCTCAACGTCATCGACCCGCACCGCGAGACCACACAGAGCAGCTTCTCCACGTACCCGAGCGATAACATCTCCAACTACACAGCCTTCTACACCGAGTTCATCGGTACTGCCATGTTGGTTCTCAGTATCTACGCCATCACGGACAAGCGCAATAGATCTGCGGGCCCAGTGGGCTCTCCCTTTGCCTTCTGCCTCATGATCATGGCGTTGGGCATGGCTTTCGGCATGAACACGGGCTACGCTGTGAACCCTGCGCGTGACTTGGGTCCACGCATCTTCACGGCCATCGCCGGCTGGGGCTCCAAGGTCTTCACCATTCGAAACTACTACTTCTGGATCCCGCTCGTCGCCGACTCTCTGGGCGGAGTGTGCGGCGCAGGTCTGTACCGCGTCTTAGTGGAGATGCACCACCCGCAGCCTCAGCCAGAGCTAGTGTAGGCGAGCTGACAGCATCGGTCGGTTCTACCTCATTAGATAGAGCGGTAGTAGCCACCAAGCAAGTGTAATATAGGGGTTCAACGAGTTAATTGTGTTTGTTCTAGATTTGTTCGTATGAATTCGAGTTGGTATTTTCTCAGGCTCGCTGGTATCCAAACGAGGTACACACAGTATGTCACTGTATGTCTTACACTGTGTGGAACTTGAGCTGGCGTTTTTGCATTGCATTGTATGGAGCGATTCCCGCAGCAAGTTTGGGACTTTAGATTTGTCCTTTCTTCAGCTCATAGAATAAATCTGGAAGGGGGTCAATACCCCCCTTCCAAGCGCTTCATGTCAAAGAGTTTGGAATCATACACAAAGGACACCTGTAAAGGCCTCAAATGGATGCGGGGATCGCCACAATGTTGAAAATCAGTTGCCGTCACTAACGAAAAGAACTCGTTCTGAGCCGACGCTAGGCGTGAAAATGCTCTGCCATTTTGCTGAAAATGAGTGTTGGCAGTTCCACTTACTTACAACGAAAACACAGTGCGAATCTATTTTGCTCAACCAAGTTTCTCCCGCTATTGGCAGTGCAATCGAAATGCTACCCTTACTTTAATGAAGTAGATTGAGAAAAAAAAAAAGCATTTCTGACATCCTTTGTACAAGTAATGCCACCCTGGTTGAATGTTATAATTCATGTGGATGTTCTCTCGTGAAATCAACTTGTCACGCTTCCAATAAATAAAAATGCTGTCGGGGAAAGAGAGCAATAACACCCTAAGAAGTCTTCATCGCAGATACTATCTGCAATGATGGAAACTCGAGCACCAGGTTGTTCATCTCGAGCTCCTGTTTGAGCAACCTGCTAGTATCTACGAACCGGTTACACGAACGGCTTCTACCAAGTAGTTCCTGGGCTACTCTTTTCTTGTGCCCCGCTCCCCCCCCCCCCCCCCCCCCCCCCCCCCCCACACCCACACCCACACCCACCCACACACAAACACACACGATTGATTTATTGTCGAAGACGGACTTCTCTTCTTGTGAGCTTCTAAATTTTTATCAACCTGCTTCACTCGGAAATCATTGTATACGAGGGTCAAACCGTAGATTATGCAAAAGAAAAATCTTGAAATCAACTAGAAGCTATGCCTCCCATGCGTACTGCGGAATCTGCAGCAGCATTTTGGCCTTGCACTCTTGAAGTTCATCGAATTGTTGAAGATCTGCTTGAAATTTCACCAGAATATCGTCACGGAAAACCTCTTTCTGTGCCACACTCGCTTTGCTTGGATTCTGGAACACACGCCGAAGATCTCCACTCGTCCTGATATCCATGCGGACGAGCTGTTGCGCCGTTTCGTTGAGGGCACGTTCGACGTCGTCCGAGTTGGCTGGTGCGTCCCATAAAAGCACTTGTTTTTCACAAAATGCGTCTACATTCAACTTCGGAACGGCAAATATCAACGCTGCGCTGTTTGGTTGCTCCAACGCCTTTTCTAGTAATCCAAGATTCTGCAGAATCCGCAAAAGTTCATTCCCCTTCATAGAGACAGCTGTTTGGCCATCTTGAACAGCAAAAGCTGCTTCTTTCCGAAAATTCCCGAAACTAGGCTAATTTCGCTTTCTGATTATTTTAAGAAATTCCCGAAAATAGGCTAATATCGCTTTCTGATTATTTTGGTCATACCGATACTTAAATTCGAAAGCGAGCTGCTTGAGCACCAAGTGGGAAACAAATTTTGGCGCAATACGAACAGTGTAGCGCCATGGTTTCTCTTGTCCTGGTTCGTAATGGCACATGCTTTCATTTCTGTGAATACCCCATACTATACTGCACTTATGTGTGAATATCATCATCCACGATATCTCCACGAAGATATCCCAGTCTCCTGCGCACAAATTTTTCGTTGGAAGAAAGACACTCGCGTGCCACGCCACCAAACTTGGGAAAGCGCTCTTCAGTCGTCTCTAGTGTCACAGGTGGATCACCCGAGTCGAGATGAAGGAGTTTTACTGCCGTTTTCAGCTCGTCCAGGTCCCACAACGACATGTAAATTATGCGCTTGTTAAAACATTTGCAAATCTTTCTGAACCACGACTGATTAGGGCATGTGAAGCACACCATCTTCGCTCGAGAAGGTGGGAACGGTGGCGGGATATCAAACAAGTAAGTGACTTCAACTCCACGGTCAGCAGCCCGTCGCTCGAAGTGCATTAACATATCGTATCCTCCGTATTTTTTTACTGCAATGACCCTCAGAAAACACCATAGATTCTTGCAAATGGGCGTCATCTGTGAATGATGCGGTATGATAGTTGCATCGGGTGCTCTTGGGTATAGCGCGAGAAGAAATAGCCGTAGAAAGCCGTTGTCCCGATTCCTGTGGTTTTACAGCAGGTAAACTCGAGGTTAGCGCTGTAAGAGTATGAAGTGAAACCGTAATAATAAAAATGGGGGAACCTGTCGTCCCAGTAACGGTAACGATGTCCACGCCGTGGTGGAGTAGTAGATCCGTGATCAATGTATAGTAACGGGGGAAGCATTCGCGCACGTAGTACACGTCACCATTGAAACTATGTGTCGGTAAAGGGGATGGGAATGTTGCAATCTTCATGCTTAGGTGTCCGCCGTGATCGATAAGCTCGTCTTCACCACGGAATTCTTCGATTGAGAGGTAGTGAGAATTTCAATAAGTGAAATTTTGTGACCAGGCCTTCAACATTTTTTCTAAGTTAATTCTTTGTATTTATTAATTTTTTTTAGGAATTTCTACTTAAAACAATGGTGCCTGGGGGTGATGAATCTCCACCAAAAGACGGTAGAGGCCGGCGCCGGCGACACCACCAAGAAGGTCCGCTACAATGGGGATCCAGAAGTAATAATGGTGCGATGTGAACACCTTCGAGCCCCAGCCAGCGCACAATGTGAACAGACGAGGACCGAAGTCACGAGCTGGATTTACAGCGTAACCCGTGTTCATACCGAAAGCCATACCCAGAGCCATGATCATGAGAGCGAAGGCAAACGCGTTGCCGTATTTACCGGCTGGACGGTTCTTCTGATCTGTAATGGCGTAGATACTAAGTACCAGCATGGCTGTGCCAACGAACTCAGTGTAGAAAGCTGTATAGTTGGAAATACCCTCAGAAGGGTACGTAGCGAAGCTGCTCTGTGTGGTTTCTCGGTTCGGGTCGATTAAGTTCAAGTTTTGCCACTGCATGACCCAGATCACAAACGCGCCACAGAAGGCACCAAGGAACTGCGAAAACATGTAACCCGGGGCCTTCCACCATGGTAAGCGGCCGTAGACGCAGTGGGCCAATGTCACAGCTGTGTTCAGGTTGGCACCACTGACACCTTCGGAGCAGTAGACGCCGATCATCACACCGATACCCCAACAAATGTTGATACTGAGCCACGTGCCGTTGGCTTGTTGTGAGTTGGTCACTTGGTTATTGACGCCCATGCCGAACACGATCATGACGAAGGTACCAAGGAACTCGGCGAAGCATTCGCGCAGATGCACGCTCTGCACCGCTAACCGGTACATACCCGTGCGCTTGTTGGTCGTAGTGGGGAGGAGATCCGTCGCTTTGGGGGTGCTAGGCATGTTGGCGTATCCGTTCTCGACCTTGTCGACATCTGAGGTTTCCTGCGTAGGTGTAGAAGTCGCATCTTCAGCCGCGTACTGGGCCATGGTGAAGTGGTTGGCAGATTTAAGAGTCCGAAGTTGTTGGTTTGAGTACTTTAAAGCACAAATGAGAATGAGTCTTGGAATGAACAGGCAAAAGTCGCTAATGCTCGAGCTTTCCATCTCTGCGTCTCTCGCGTGGGTTGCTGCATAGGTTGGTAGCGACCAAGCAAGCAAGCGGATGCAGTGGGATGTCCAGCGCAGGCTGATCCAGGTGGAAATTATCGGCTACAAATTAACGTAAAAAAAAACTAGGAAAGCGTTATGCTTGACGGCACGTGCGTAGATTTTGAGCGCGGTTCTCGGTGCTATCGTATTCTCGATTGCCTTGATTTCTCATGATGTGGATTTGGAGTGGAAGGTAGTGGGGCCAAAGAAACGGATGCCAAATCTCTGTCTCATCTAGCATCTCACCCTACGCCACAGATCAATCCCCGCTCCGATACTGGGGTAGCAATGGGATTCTCGATCTTTAGTATGATGCTGCCGTACTTGCAGTCAGTGATCAAAATGGACAACAGAGCTAAGAGTGAGAAGTTAGACATGACTCTATGGCACCATTTTCCATTTGAACACATAGTATATAGGTAGTTATTTTATGAAGCTACGATCGACATTAAACTTAACAACCACCGACTACAACTTCGTAAGTACTTGGTCTGGGATCGGTCATACCGTTCTTAAGGTAGCGTCTGGCGCGGGTGGTGGATCTCCACCAGCATGACGTACAGACCGGCACCAATCACGCCACCGATCAGTGGCCCCACGATCGGGATCCAGAAGTAATGATCGCGCAGAGTGAAGACCTTGGAGCCCCAACCAGCGATACTCGTGAAGAGACGAGGGCCGAAGTCACGCGCCGGGTTAATAGCGTAACCCGTGTTCATACCGATACACATACCGAGAGCCATGATCAAAAGGCAGAAGGCGAAAGGAGCTCCCACTGGCCCAGCCGGACGGTTGCGCTGGTCCGTGATAGCGTAGATACCGAGTAGCAACATGCCTGTACCGACTACTTCAGTGTAGAAGGCAGTATAGTTAGAAATATTATCGCTCGGGTATGTAGCAAAGCTACTCTGCGTAGTCTCGCGGTCGGGATCAATGACGTTAAGGTTCTGCCACTGCATGACCCAGATCACAAAGGCCCCCGCGAATGCACCCAAGACCTGTGAGATCATATATCCAGGTGCCTTCCACCACGGTAGACGACCGTATACGCAGTGTGCTAGTGTCACTGCAGTGTTTAAGTGGGCTCCACTAATACCTTCCGTGCAGTAGACGCCAATGAGCACGCCGATGCCCCAGCACATGTTGATACTGAGCCAAGTACCATTAGCGTCTTGCGAGTTGGTCACCTGGTTGTTGACGCCCATACCGAACAAGATCATGACGAATGTGCCGAGAAACTCAGCGAAGCATTCGCGCAGATGTACGCTCTGTACGGCGAAGCGAGATAGACTCGCGAGTCTGGCGTCAGCCGGGTTGACGCTAGTTGTCTTAGGCGTCAACGGCATATCGATGTAGCTGACGTCGCGCTTGGCGTCGAGTTCTTCGAACGGCTGCGGGGCTGGGTTGGCCGACACATCCGGGGTCTGGTTGGACGGGAACGGAGCCATTGTTGAGGTTTGCGATGAAGGCTCGACCTTGGATGTGTTTGGAAGGCGTTAAAATGGAGAATGAGCGAGGCCTTCCGAGCGAGGAAGTGTAATCGTCTCCACCAAAGGCAAGTTACCGTAGTGGAAGATGGCAGCGTCGGTGGGAGCCAGAGCCCTGGCGTGAGAGCTGTTGAACAAGTTCAAGGCCGCTTGAGGCTACATTCACTTGACTTGACGGTCAATTGGACACGAGTGAGCTCGGGTTACCTGTCTGACTCAGGTACTTCAGCTTGACCATTGCGTATCGCGCGGTGACTCTTGCCAGGTGCGTAAACTGTGAAAGCAAGCAGTGGGACGTCTATCCGAGTGTATAAGTGTTATTGCAATTTTTCGCCTCCGCTGCCGAGATGATAGCCCGGAGAAGGATAATGTAAGTGTTGAGTATGCATGTGTTGGTATCATGCCCGGATCGATGCTTTTGTCGCTCTGCTCCTTGAGCCAACACTAAGAGTATAAGCACAGACCTTACTCGTCTGCATCGATCGCGTTACCTTAACTGCTGTCGCCATTGTACAGTAGGGACTGCGAGATCAGCGGAAGACGTGGCGTAGTTGCGACCAAGTTCAAGCGAGGCTGAATGTTGCGCACCAAGTTGTGCGACTCACTAGTTGATCGAAACTTCAACGTTCAGGTCGTGAGCCAGTGCGTGCACACGAGGAATGCAATTGCTCCCACGCCCGACGTATTGCAAGTATTAATCTGTACCAGCGTAGTTCCGGTTGCAGCACTGCAGGCGATGAACATTCTTGACTTCACATATCTTCAGCGTTTCTGCTTGGCGCTTTCTGAAGCGCCCCGCTCAGTGCCTCAGTAATGAGTGCCTTTCTTAGTGGAATATGTGTCCCACAGTGCGTTGAAGATGTTTGACAGTTGAAGAGCATGTTGCTATTTAAATGTAGGGAAACTCAGATCCGGTCTGATTCGGCTGATTCCTTACAAAACATTAGGAATCAGCCGAATCAGACCGGATCTGAGTTTCCCTGCATTTAAATAGCAGCATGCTCTTCAACTGTCAAACATGTTCTTCAACGGGCTGAAATCAGAAACGCAGCCTTCTGATTTGTGTGCTTGACAAACAACCGGACCTTTTTTGGCGGATTAATCGTAAAAAAATGGTATCCTTTTGTTAATTTCGGACCCCAAACGGAATTTCCCTATTTGAACAGTACAATATTAAAATTAGTCTCGTTTGCAGATTAAAAAATCAATTTTCAAAATTCAATAATTTCATTTACGAAAACTCACTGCAGCCATGTTTGCGTTTCTTGGCATGCGCCAAAGTCGCGCGATGTTTTTCAGATGCCTTCCCTGACCATTCTCCTTTTTCAGCGCCCAGGCAAGGCTTATCTGCCACGATTTTCACTCCAGCCAGATTGCTGTGGCTCACCGATCCTTCTGCTCTTGTAATGATGCCCTATAGCTCCAAGTGTTTAAAGTTTTCCAGAAACCAACCAATGCTCAACATCCACCTAGGACTGCTGCAATACGGTATTGCCGACGTAATGGACGAGGACGGTGTGATCGTCGCACAACGAGTACAGGTGGTCCTTGTGATGCCTCCGCGACTTCGAAAGTGGCTGCACGCAGCCTCGCAGTATCTCCAGTCCAGATATCTCTACTCATACTGATAGGGACGATCTAGTCCCGCTAACGCCGTGGCATCATACCCTCCGCTAGCGCTGAGACTAACTCGCAAGCTTCGTACCATTAATTAACATATACTGAGTAGACCTGCGTCATATTAACAGAATTGTTTTTAAAGAAAAAAAAAACTACTCGGTCTCTTCCTCATCGGCATCCTCCTGCAACTGCACAATGAAGAAATACGCTCCAGCGCCCATAACGCCGCCGATGAGAGGCCCGATGAGAGGCACCCAGAAGTAGTGGGCGTTTGCAGAGAAGACCTTGGGGCCGTACCCAGCTAGTAGAGTGAATAAACGGGGACCAAAGTCGCGTGCCGGGTTCAAAGCGTAGCCGGTATTCATGCCCAATGCCATACCTAGAGCCATGAATAGCATCGCGAACGCGAACGGAGTACCGACCGGGCCTGCGCCTCGGTTACGCTCATCGGTAATGGCGTAGATGGCCATGAGCAGCACTGCAGTTCCCAATGTTTCACTGTAGAAGGCAGTGAGGTTAGAGATGTTGTCCTTCGGGTACGTCGCGAAGTTGCCTTGTGTGGTCATTCCGTTCGGGTCTATCTCCATAAGACGCTGGTAGTGTAGCACATACACGAGAGCGGAGGCGCAAAACGCTCCCATCGTTTGGGCTGCTGCGTAGCCTGGCACTTTCCACCACGGAAGACGTCCAAATACCGCGTGGGTGAACGTGACGGCGGTGTTCAAGTGGGCGCCGCTGATACCTTCCGCGACGTAGACGCCAATGAGAACTCCAATGCCCCAGCAAATGTTGACACTGAGCCACGTTCCGTTGGCACCGTCGGACAGATTGACCTGGTTATTGACGCCGATGCCAAAGCAGAGGAACACGAGTGTACCGAGAAACTCGGCCAGACACTCCCGCATATGCACGCTCTTGGTCACGAACGGGATGTGCTCTCGAGCGCTGCCGGTGATGTACACGTGGCTGCGGTTGGTTTCGTGCAGTACTGAGTGCGTGGAGTACGATCGAGGCATCCGTCGACGATGTCCAACGTTATCTTGTGCTGCCCCAGTCTTGATGTAGTAAGGAATCTGGTATCCTGACTTGTCGGTGAGAGAGAAGATATCTCCACTGTGTACGAAGCTTGCCTCCTCCATGTTGGTTGGAGAGTTAGATGGTGTTTTTAGTTGCTGGAAAAATGAATAATGAAGGGGTCCTGAGCTTCTGCTAGCAGTTTTGTGGTTTGTGGATAACAGGAGACATTCGTGTTGGAGTGTACGTACATGTGGCTCTCTATGTGGAGCGGATGGACTTGACGAAATGATACGGGGCATTTGTGTGGAGAGTGTTCGACATATGAATCGACTCTACTGTTTCGAAACCAAGTGCTGGAATAGGCTCCGTATGGAGCGCCCCAAATTCTTCAGTATGCTGCGGCTGAACACTACATGGGCAATTTATCTCAATTTTCTGGGGAGGTCTGACTGCTTCAGTGTTCTCATTTACTATATGCGAGTCAAATATACCTCATACCCTTTAGCTTGTGTTATATGAAGAATTTATGACGTAATATATATTCACAAATGATAAATCTACACGTCTTCGTCGTCGTCTTCAACATCGTGTTGGATTTGCACCAGCAAAATGTAGGCTCCAGCGCCGATGACACCACCCAACATTGGTCCGAAGATTGGGATCCAAAAGTAGTAGTTTCTGCTACTAAACACCTTGGAGCCGAAACCAGCAAAGAACGTCAGCAGTCGCGGACCAAAGTCCCGGGCTGGGTTCAAAGCGTATCCAGTGTTCATGCCGAATGCCATTCCAAGCCCCATGAAGAGCAGAGAAAAAGCAAACGGGGTACCAACCGTCCCTGCACCGCGGTTACGCTCATCAGTGATAGCGTAGATTGCTATAAGGAGTAACCCCGTAGCCAGCGCCTCGCTGTAAAACGCAGTAAGGTTGGAGATGTTCTCGTTCGGATACGTCGCAAAGTTGGCGTGCATAGCCATCTTGTGCGGATCCTCTTCCATGATGTTTTGATACTGGTAGATGTAGATCAGTCCGGCCCCCACAAACGCGCCGAATGTCTGTGCGAATGCGTATCCAGGCAATTTCCACCATGGGATACGGCCAAACATTGCGTGTGTGAAGGTCACGGCCGTGTTGAGGTGTGCGCCGCTGACTCCTTCCGCGATGTAGACCCCCATGAGTAGAGCGATACCCCAGCAAATGTTGATACTCAACCATGATCCATTGTCTCCTTTTGACAGGGCGACTTGGTTATTCACACCGAGGCCGAAGACACAGAGCATGAACGTGCCTAGGAACTCGGCGAGACATTCGCGTAGATGTACACTCTTCAGTATAATTGGCAGCTTCCTGGTCTTGTCGTCTGCTAGCCATATCTGGCTGCGGTTCGTCTGGTGGAGCACTGAGTGCATGGAAGCATTGCGGCGTCGAGGGGTGTACGGCGTATTGGCGAAGTTGTATGGTGCCTGTCCTGGCCGGCGGTGCATCGGCGTGTGCGGAGTTGACGGGTAGCGGCTCAGTTTGGGCGTTTTACCACCACCACTATGGTGCCCGGATCTCTCGATGAGATCGTGGACGTACTGACCGCTGTTGACGAAACTTGGTTCCTCCATGGATAGAGCGAAGCGTTGAGCTTGAGAGTGTGCTCGAAGGTAGTGAAATGAAGAATGAATGGAGGCCTATGATGCCGAGCAAGTGCGTGAAGGCTGCATTTCATCAATGGACGAGCCGGTAAGGCAGATGTAAAACGGAACCTCATGCCGAGTGGTGCCTATGGCAGATTGGTCCCCAATGCAACATGTATCATGTCTGCCAGATGTCCGCGTGTAGAGCTACGAAGCTTTCGATGCTGTACCGGTAGTTTTCCTCCTCACGAGCCTTGCGACAAACAGACAGACGGCAAACAATGCGCTAGCTACCATATTGTGACAATGCCATTTGCTGGTCATCGGATGGAGAATGGCACTTTTGGGTTATGAGCGGGATACGAAACGCATCGTGCGGACGTTGTCATCTGCAATTTATGAACACATCGTGCAGTACATTATTGTATTGCACGGTTTAATTCTCTAGACACTTTCGAGAACTCGTTCTCGATCCGACGTTGATTTTTGTGGGAGTTCAGGGTGCTGTGTTTCAACGAAGAGAATGTAAAGTCCACCGCCAATGATACCTCCGATTAATGGCGCTACGATCGGGATCCAGAAGTAGTGCGAGTCTTCTGTGAACACCATGTGATACCCGATGATATAAGTGAAGAGGCGAGGACCGAAGTCTCGGTTTGGGCTTATACCAAGACCAGAATTGGAGCTGAACGCACACGAAATGGCCGTGACCAGCAGAGCTAAGGCGAACGGGGTACCTCTATTGCCAGGCCAGCGGTTGCGTCTGTCCTTGATGGCGTAGGAAGCCAACATGATACACGCACACGCTAGCACTTCTGTGTAGAACGCCGTGTAGTTCGAGACGCCATCGCGTGCATATGTGATAAAGAGTCTGTACATGGTTTCTTGGTTCGGATCCTCACGACGGATTTTCTGGGCGTTCAGGACGTAGATCAGTGCTGCACCGACGAAAGCTCCAAGTATCTGAGCGACCATGTAACCAGGGACCTTCCACCACGGCATACGGCCGTACACGGCGTTGGTGACAGTAATGACGGAGATGATCTGAGCACCACTGACGCTGTCCGCGACGAACGTGCCAAGCATCACGGCCACTCCCCAGCCGACGCTGACAGTCATGGTGTCTCCTCCTCCATTCCAAAGAGCATTTTGAGCGATCCCTCCAAGACCGAACGTGATGGCTAAGACCGTAGCCAGGAACTCGGCAAGACATTCACGCAGGTGCGTGTTGTATGTGACGAACAACCGTCGCTTGGTGAGCTCGTGGTGGTCCGCTTGAAGGTATTGTGAAGACTCTTGATCATTAATGGGGACGTGAGTATCGGGAGCACGAATGTACGGCGTCGGATCTCTGGTGTGCGGTCCACTGCAGTCGTCGTTTACGGCGCTAAAGCTAACCTTCGTGGTTGTCATTGTCTCGTGTGGTTTGAGCAAAATTGAGAGTGAGAGTATTGGTTAATCGGGGTCTTCGTTGCGGGTATAACGCGGTGCATCGACGTCTGAGGCGGGTATGTGTGATTGCCAGGATTGTGCGATTGATGATTGGCTGAAGCAAAAGTTTGGTGCTTTGGAACAAGGATAACGTGTTTTCGTCAACACTGTTCACTAATGATGATGAATACGAGGTGTTCAACCTACGTGGCGCTACACTAGTCGTATTGCACAATCAGTTTGATCGTGTCTCCGTCCATGGTCGATTTTGTTCCCACGAATATGACGTTTGAATTGTTCGGCTTCAGTTTCTTGAGCGGCGTAAAACTGTGTATTGATCTAAAATGTTGGCTCCAGAAATCAAAACCAAAACAACGAAGGGTATTCTATTGTTTTTATATTTTGTAGCGAGCGGCTAAGTTAGGTACCATTTGGTTGTGCTGGGTTCTCGTTCTTTGTTCATACTTTTCGATTATATTGTCAGAAGTACTCGGATGGGTCGTGCGGGTGCTGCACTTGCACAAGGATCTCATACGCACCCGCGCCGATGACTCCTCCGATTAGCGGCGCGAACATTGGGACCAAAAAGTAGTAGCTCTTTTCCGTGAAGACCTTGGTACCGTAGCCAGCGAAGAAGGTAAGCAGGCGAGGACTGAAGTCTCGGGCTGGGTTCATCGCGTATCCTGTGTTCATACCGAAACTCATTCCGAGCGCCATGATCATGAGTGCAAAAGCGAACGGAGTACCGACGGTACCAGGTGAACGGTTGCGCTGGTCCGTAATAGCATACACGCAAAGCAAGAGCATTCCGGTAGCCAGAGCTTCTGTGTAGAACGCTGTAAGGTTGGAGATCTCCGGGTTCGGGTGGGTGGCGAAGTTGTGGAACATGGTCTCTTTATCTGGATCAGCCTTGTGTAGACGCTCGTAGTCGAGCAGGTAGATCGCAAACGCACCAACGAAAGCTCCGATGAATTGCGAGACGACGTAGCCAGGCATCTTACGCCAAGGAAGACGACCGTATACGGCGTGAGCAAGTGTAACGGCTGGGTTCAGGTGAGCACCGCTCACTCCTTCTGAGCAGTATACACCCATGAGCACGGCGATACCCCACGCCATGTTGATACTGAGCCAGGTGCCTTCTTTTTCCTTCGAGAGTACGACTTGATTATTGACACCCATGCCGAAGGAGATCATGACAAAGGTGCCGAGGAATTCGGCGTAACATTCACGTAGGTAGGCACTACTGGTCACGAACCACTGCTTGTGGTGAAATTCATCTCGAGAGTACTGACTGCGGTTAGTGTGGTGCAGTGAACGCTCGCAGGGGTCGATCTGGGGAGGAGAGTATGGTGTGTCGGGGTAAGCACCATAGTTGCCGGACTTGTTGGTGATGTCGACGACTGGTGGAGTGGTGGAAGTTGTGTAGGCTGACTCCATAGCTAAGATCGCCTTGGTTGTTACAGTTGTTAGGAGGGCGGTGAATTGGATAGTGATCCTTGGGATGCAGACGACGGACTAAAGGAGCAAGTTTTGAAGAGCTCACCCGCTCTGTTGTAACGCACCATTTCGAAGACGCGCACAGCTGAGGTACTGGCCTATTATAATAATGGGCAATGTGAATTCGTGTCTATGATCTTCTAAACAACTCGACTACCTGAACACTACCAGACTCAGAAAGAACAAGTCGTAACCAACGTCAATGGAGCCAGCGATGAAGCATAAGATTCGCGCGTTTTTTAAACTGCTGGGACTGTGTCGCGATGAATTAAGACGTTCTTCATCCTCGCATTGCTGTCACTTTAACAACAGAATGATTATTTTTGACGTACAAGTAGTAGATTTAATCTCATAATTGGCGACAAACTTGTTCACTCCAACTATAATTCGCGTATACCCAGCGTCGATGTTATTTTCTTTTTGATGTAATGTGCGTTGATGAAAAGATTTTCGAACGTTCTTCTTCGCCCTACGAGCGTAGCTTGAGGAATGTTCGCTTTAAAACCCGAGCCTGAATATTAAAAACAATCGTAAGAATTAAATCTAGGTTATCAACTGGAAGTAGCCACGTACCTCGTAGCTGATAGTGTGCTGGATCGTATTGTTCCCAGTCGCGCCTGCATTCTTTTGGTCAGCTTCAGTAGTCGTGAAGATATCCTTGCCATGTTGGTCAGCACAGTCCAAGAACTCGAGAATATCATCCATGGTGGAGTCACGAATAGTGGTCATATGCTTCGCTAGCGTGAGCGCCAACCCGAGGAAGCAGCGCTTGGCATAGTACCACGTGTCTGGTCCAAGTTTGCGGTGATACGGCTCCATGCTCTTCATGACTCGACAAATACCAAAGTCGTAGTTGTTCTTGGAGCAATACAGTGTGCCAATGACAAGGTTCACTATACAGAGATGGAAGAGTCTTTTATCAGGGTCGCGACTCGTTTCCTCCTCCTCCTCTCGCTCAATAGAGCGCAGTAATTCCTCCGCTTTCTCGTTGTCCGTGTTCATAACGTAACACACGCACAAATTTGCCAAAATAATAGCCTGTACATCGAGCAAATTATCCTGATGTTTCTTCACGAACGGCTCGTAGTACTGAATAGCCTGTTCGTATTTGTTGCCCTGAAGGAAGAACACGTGCGCCACATTGAGTTTCCAAGCCTCGTGCTCCGAGCAGAACTCGGCTGTTTGACGGAAAATCTTCTCTACTTGTGTGTAGTTGCCACGTTCCCAGTAGATATTCGCCTGTGCCATTAACACAGGCATGAAGTCTTCCAATGCGTCGTCGTACGCTTTCAACGAGGTCTTGATGTCCTCATTGGACTGCGCTAAACGTGCGTCCTGGATCTTCTTGGTTAGTTTACGTAGTCCTTCAACATGCTTGGTTGCGAGCTCATCGTACTTGCGATAGGCGTCCTCAGGAGATGTCTGTAGCGTCACGGTGGCGTCCATGAAGTCGTAAAAATCTTTCGACAATAACTGGAACGTCAGGTGAGCGTTCTCTGCCAATACATCGGCCATAAGATCGTGGAATCCGTGCTTGGTGTACAGGATCAATAAGTTCGAGAAGGTTTCAACCGGGAATGGAGGGTTTTGTAGTAAGAAATTGAGCTTCTTGAAGCCACCGTTAGGGTCTACGTCCATGTTCATGAGTCCGAAGTTGTGGAGCGATACCGGGTCCAATTCTTCCTCCTGTCGAGGTGGCATGTCCAATAGAGCGTCTCGAGCTCCTTTATAGTTCTTCATTTCGTACTCGATGGCTGCTTTGAGGTTAAAGGCTTCAACAAGAGCAGTCTCGCGTAGGACCGTCGAGTTTCGAACGGACTTGACGTCGGCGTTCTGCTCGCTTTTACTGCCTACACTTAATTCGGGGTGATCTCGTACCCCTTTTTCAATGATCTCGGCTATTTGCCGCATGGCGTTGCCGTATTGTTTCATCTTGAAGAAACAGAGGGCGATGTTATAGGACAGATCGGGCTGATAACCTAGGATATTGAGGGCATCCGCGAACTTGGCACGTGCAGCCTCGTACCGACCTTCCTTGTACTCGATAGCCCCGTCGAATACGATCGTGGTGGGGTCGTCGGGTAGACATTCTTCTAGTACGGAGCGTGTGGCTTTAATGTCGTTCTGTTCGTAGTACGAGGCTGCTCGAAGCAGATGCACGCGTTGTGCGAATTGTTCGCTTTCTAGTTGACTCGCTCGTCTCGAAGCTGCGTCGTATTGGCCGGATTTGTACAGTGACTGCGCTAGATAGAGCTGGTATTCGTCCACTTCGGGGTAATTGGCACACAATTGTTCGTACATCCCGACGGCTTGGTGGAAGAGCTGCATGTGATAGTAGCAGTATCCAAGCAGTGACAGAGCTGCTCGACTGTGAGGATGGTTCTCTAACTCGATCTGGAGGACCCGCACGGCTTCTTCGTACTTTTGGTCACGAATGAACCCGTAGATCGTCGACGTGTAGCTGCTCCCAGCACCATCTTGCGTCTGGTACATCCTTATCGATAGTGCTCAAGTCTTGGAATGACCGACTGTTCCAAACCGACACTTAGAGAGGATTTCATGAATTTCTTAGTAAGGAGAACGGTTAGAGAGCAAACCAACAAAATGACATTTGGGTAAATGCAGCAAACATTTCTGTTTAGATCTTGACAACAGCGTCAAGCATGGGTACATCGCCGGTTTCCGAGATGAAGTTCATGAACTCTCGCACCTTGGTGGGCCATTCGATGCCCTTGACGAGCGTGAGAGCACGCAGGCGACCGAACAGATCCAGGTCGTCGTAGCTGAGCTCCTCGTTGACGGAGTGATTCGAATACAACATGGGTTCGAGCTCCAACAACAGTTGATTGACCTTTTGCACGAGATCCGGGGTCTTAGCAAGTGCCTCACTGAATGAAATGGACGCCTCTCTCTTGGTTTTAAAGAACTCGCGCGACGCACGAAGGGTGAACTCGGGTAGCGGGGCAGCGTACAGTCGAGGGTTGTACAGCACGTTCAGCGAGGGCATTGCAGACTCGATCCACTTGGCCAGGTCTTCACGACCTGAAGCCTCTTTAATGATGGGGGCTGTCGCCGTAGTGTTTGTCCACGTAACTCACCACGTCCCAGCTCTCTGTAAAGGGACTTTCACCCACCGGCACGAAAATCGGAGCCGCCTTGGTGCCGACCAGACTCGTTGGCGTTGCGACGTCGTTGAAGGCCATGAATATGACGTTGTATTTGACCTTCTTTAGGCCCAGTGCAACACGTGCACGACAGCTAAACGGACAGAAGTCGTAGATGTAGAGCTTGGGCTGCTGACTTGTGGTATCTGCCATACTTGGTTCTACAGGCGAGTTGGTCGGAGTGTCTGCGGTGAAGCTTTTTCAATTGTGTGCTGGCAAGCTCTGATCTTGCTTGCCCGGTCGGACTCGTGCCCTTTTCTACCGTGATTATGTGCCACCAAAGTGATGAGCTTTGTGTGCTCGAAGTGTTCTCAATCCTCCCGCGATGCTAAGATTTCAAGTGCGACACCATTTATCACTTGGATACACACTTGTCACTGATCCCGAAGGTTCACATCGGAGCCGCTTTTGCATTAAGAAATTCTTACTTGGTTCAGGAACGTAAATCGTAAAATGGTTTTTGATAGCTCATACTTTTAGACGTTGATTGTATCTTACACACTGCGCACGATGTTTGAGTCGAGTGCTTTCAGCTCGTTCTCAAAATGGCAACTCGTTCTCCTCCTCATCTTCCTCCGTCGCGAACAGCACGTCGAGGATTGACAGACCAAGCAGGTTGGTCTGTGCACTCGTGCTCTTCGATAGCTCGGCGTTGTGTACTAACTCCGCAATCGTTTCCAGTTTGTTTAAGTAGAAGTCACGTTCATCCTTGATCCGCTCAGTCTGGTCATCAGAAGGCGGTACACCTCAGTAAACTCGCACACCTCAGCACTAAACGCTCACATCCAAGGCGTACCTTCTCACGGAGCGCGTGGAGCTCTACCTCAAGTGCTTGCTTCTCTTCTATCAGCCCGTCACTCTTGATTTTCATGTCCTTCATCTTCTCCAGCACCGCAGCGACCTCCGCGTCCTTAACTTCAGCCGAACAATGTCGATTCGGGGTAGCAGCTCTCGCTTTCTTCTTCACGAGAGCGCCTTTAAGCTTCTGATTATATTGAACACCGCCTTTTCCTTTAGCTCGCCGCGCATGGGCGTCGTAGGGCTGTAGTGGAGGCTCGTGGCGATCATAGAAAGCCTTGAGCCACTGCAGGAACTCGAGATTGTCCTGGTACTTGCCGTGAATCAGCTTGTCAACAGGTATCTTCTTGTCGATCTGCAGAGACAGAAATATCCGCTGCAGTAGTTTGTAATTGTGTACACACTCGTGTGGTTGCGTGGCAGTCCAGTCCACTCGGTTCATGGGGATTTTGCCTGGATACAGCACGTCCAGCACTTGGCACACCACGGCACCGGAGCTCGTCTGCTTCACGCTCGTCAGCTCCATCGCGCACAACGCGTTCAGCCAAGCAAGGAGCTCCGTCCTGCTAACAAAATACGCGCCGATCATGCTGCTTGAGAGACGAGAACTGGCCAAGAGAAGACAGCATCGTTCACCGTCTTTCTCATTGTATCCGCAATTGCAACAATTGCATCTGATAACTCAAATCAAAGTTTCAACCAATCATCATCCCTGATTTCTTTTCCATTTATTGCCAATCGGCAGGTCCATTGCTTTTCACTTGGAATTCCGCGCGCAGAGCAGTACGCGCGACCATCACTCTTGTGCGCACTCGCCGACAACCATAGCGCTCGACGCGCCGGTCCCCAGAGGCCGCAAGCGCCCGCGGGAAGCGCTCTCGCACCTCCCCACCAGGCGGAAGATTACGATGGAGGTGCCTGACGACAAGGAGAACCAGCCGCCTGAGCCCATAATCGAGTCGCTAAAGAAGGAGCTTCCCTTGCCCACAGTGCGGTATACAGACATATATACTCCAGGCCAGCCGACACAGATTCTAAACTTCGGGGAAAATGCGCGCTCCCTGTTCATGCTGGAGAAGCCCACGGAGAAGCGGCTGCGGCTCGTGATCGCACTCAAAGAGGCCCCACTGACGGTCGATACTTGGCTGGAACTGCTGCGCTGCCCATTGGTTGGAAATCCCGCCAAATACAGCAAGATACGACTACTGAAACGTGCTCTGACCTGTGTGGACTCGGAGGAGGCGCGCCAGACTGCAGGATACACGGAAATGTGCATTATGCTGGCCAAGCTGAGCGAGTACGTGGGTGTGTGTCTGACTTGACTTGAGTAAAGCTGACAGAATGTTTGTATTTGTAGTACTGAGGCTGGAGTGCGACAGAACTTCCAGGAGATGAAGAAGCGACGAGTGGGTGAGAAGCAACCGCTCTTATATGAGGAGGAGGCAGCCTTTGAATATGCAGCAGGGAACAAGGACGCGGCGGAGGAGATTCTGGAACGAGGAGTGGACAATGACGCACTCACACCGACTCAGAAGGAGCAGTTGCTGAAGAAGGTCATCGCAGGAAGAGCAGGGTGGGTAGCGGCTTTCTCAGGTTCACCACAAGAACAAAAGGTGCAGGCGTTGAGGACACTTCGACGGACGCAGGACAACATCACAGTTGATAAACACAGGAGGCAGACTGGAGTCACTACGCCACGCGTGACGACGCCGCTTCACCCGTCAATTATTTCTGCAGATACGACACCAATTAGCCGAGGACGAGACGGTCCAGTGGCGGCACCAATTCGTACAGCGACGACTCCGTCTAATGCGACACCATTGACAGGTCCAGTTCGTACGGCGACGACACCGATTAATGCAACGCCACTCAGCCAAGCTCGAAATGGAGCAGGGTTTTCGACCGCGTCGAAAGCGTCGCATTCTAACAAGTCGCCGCTGCTTACGACGCCCTCAATCCCCACACGGTCAAGTCTCAAGACGCAGTCCACATCGAGAAAAACCCGCCATCTCTTTCAGCTTAGTACGGAGGATGTTTGCTTGTATTGTTGATGTTTTCCTGATCTAATGAGCTCGCGTGTGCCTATTATGTGACAACAGACGGCCCACCGCGTCGAGTAGTTGCATCCAATGTAAACGAGAGTGACGACGATGACGAAGACGACGATGCTATGATGGGGAGTCAAGCAACGCCAACCGTATACAGTAAGGCAATTACGCCGATAAAGGTTTGTGTTATAGTGATGAACTTTGACCATTTGGCAAATGCTAACACGTCGATTTGTACTTAAAGAGTGCGGATCCTGCAAGTAGCGTTCCAAAGTCCACGGCGGAAAGCAACAAAAAGCCGAAGATCAATGTGGGTGATATAAAACACATTTTAAAGTGGGATCCCGAAAAAGAGAAAGAGAAGATGATGAAGAAGAAAAGCCTTCAAAATGGTCCTCCTGGCGATACGGACGTTAAAACCTCGATTGGTCCACCAACAAAGCCTACAGCAATGAATGTGACATTCAAGACCTCAGTAGAAGAAATACCACCCGAGAAAGCAATTGTGACGTTGCCTGAGCCACCATCAAAAGAGAGCGCAGCAACAGAGTTATCACCGGAGAGCGAGGAAGTATTGCCAGTACCGATGACCACTTCTATGACCAGCAACAAATCGTCAGCCCCCGAAACTCGATCCCCACGAGTGCATAGGCCATTTCCATGGGAAATTAAGGCAAATGCTACACGGGTAGACGCGCAGGTACGAGCGAGCAGTACTACATCGCGCGCGATCGACTATTATCGTTCTCCGAAGCGTCAACAACTGGACCCAGCTGTTCCTGGAGTAGCAACATATGCCGACTCGAGCTCGCCTGGTTCTGTATCGTCGTCGTCATCCCCGCCAGTGGCTTCAATGGACAGTGTTTCATCTCGAGATGCATTGGAGTCTTTGACGAGCAAAGTTGTGGTACGTACTAGCTGACTGTTATCTCGGACAAGGATGCATGAAGAAATTGATGGAACTATTTTGCTTGCAATATTTAGGTAAACGACCAAAAGTATATCAAGCTGGAGCAGATTGGTAGTGGTGGGAGCAGCAAAGTCTACAGGATGCTGGGACCAGATCTCAAGATTTACGCGCTGAAGAAGATCAAATTGAAAAAGCTGGATGCTCAAAGCATTGCCCAGTTTACAAACGAGATCGAATTGCTGAGAAGATTGCAAGGAAGCCCGCACATCATCAAGCTTATTGCTGCCGAGCAGGACCTCCAACAGCGGCAGATCAATGTGGTATGTTCGCTTGATTCTTATGGTATGCGCGAACACTATGCTTACTGTTTGCGTGGTCATACAATAGATAATGGAGCACGGGGAAATCGACCTTAGTGAGCGGCTTCGAGACCTACAGGGTGGCATGGATGAAAATATGCTACGAGTGATTTGGACTCAAATGCTTCAAGCTGTGAACGCTATTCACCAAAAGCGAATTATCCACGGTAAGAGCAGCAGTGCCAGGAATGTGATAGCAACAACGTCCGTGCTAATCTGTAATACTTTCTACATGCTTTAGGTGATCTTAAACCGGCCAACTTTTTGTTTGTGAATGGTGCGCTCAAACTTATCGACTTCGGAATCGCGAAGACAATCTCGAATGACACAACGAACATTGAACGCGATAGCCAAATCGGCACAGTCAATTTCATGTCCCCAGAGGCGATTCAGGGCAACACAGCCCCCAATGGCCAGCGCGATCCTCAAGGAAAAATGAAGGTACGACAAAAGGTTTAGTGGAGACGAGTGAAGACGAAGACTTACTCGCCTACCACTGTAATACTTTTTTAATGGCTAGGTGGGGCGCGCAAGTGATATTTGGTCACTGGGATGCATCCTTTACCAGATTGTGTACTCGAAGCCTCCGTTTGGGGATGTGCACAACATCATCGAGAAGTTTCGTTGCATTATTGATCCGACAGTGCCAATCAACTTTCCGCCGCTGAAGAACAAGGACCTGGAAGACGTGATTCGTTCGTGTTTGCAGCGAGACCATCGTCTCCGACCACCGATCGATGGAGAAAATGGTCTACTACAGCATCCATTTCTGCGGGGTGGTGGGTCGAGCGCGGTCGTAGCACCTACCACCACTGTGACCATGGCCAACGCATCAGAGATTCTGTCCCAGCTCGGCGATTTGTTGCGGTCTCAGGGAGTAGCGACCAGCCGCGTCAACATGTTCATGAGCATTGGCCGAGATGGCTTACGAAATGCGGGTATCGGGGTCTCTCAGAGCAGTGTATCTCAGCCTCCTCGCTACCTCTACAACACGCAAGAGCGGCGGACGGATATTTAATTGTCGCGTTGGAGAGTTGTTGCTGACTCTTGGATGGACGGATGTTTGTGATCTGTGTGCTGTTCTTGACGAAATGGAAGTAAGAAGTGGTCTCATGACATGGAGCAAATTTGTATAATACCTGCATGGTGGGGGCTAATTCCTAGCAATACTTTCGCAATGCGCTGTATTCGAAATGTTACCTAAATTGCGAGCGCCAAGTCGACAACAGCGTTGCTGTCGAGTTGATTCGAGACTAAGATTGCCGATTTAATTCAAAGTTGCTCGTTTTGTATGCGTTCCTGTTACTTCCAGAGATATACGACGAAGATATCCGGAAGATGAAGGAATATTGCCGTGAGGTCGGTTTGTATTATTGCTAACAACTAACAATTTTGTGGTTGCTAGATCTGGAGCTATTGGAGTAAGTTTTGGTTAAGCTGAGCGGTCATTTGTGCCTCGGACTGTTCACGGATAGACTAACGGACCGTCTCCCAGTTCCATTTTCTCGTGTGCCTGCGGGTTGTACTGCCACAAGGCATGTGCAGCTTGCGGCATTACAGGTCTGGTTACATGCGCCTCATTCCATCAGAACCTTTTGCTGATCACATGCCTTGCAACGCAGCGCTGGCGTTTAAGTAAATCTTAGTGCGTTGTGAGTTGCCCAAGCTCAGCAGTAGGCAGAACCCCCGTACTGTTCGGCGGCCCAACCGGGCAGTTGGCAACTGTGGTATTGTCAAACATCATATTGATGGATCTGACCCACTCATCTCTCACTCGGAAATCTTCCTCCCCGAGCACAGATCAGAAGAGGAAGAAGACTAGAAAATCGAAGCTAAGATGGTCGGAGGTCGTGATGGTGGCCGTCGTGGTGGAAGACAAGGGGGACGAGGACCTGGTAACCGTGATAAGCGTAACCAGGGTGGTGGTCGAGGACGGGGTCGAGACAACAGCCGAAGTGGTGGGCGAGGCCGTGGTCGTGGATCGGATCCACCACCACGGCCGTCCACTGGATCCCAAGGAGGGAGATCGGGAGGTGCTCGCGCCGCACGATTTCAACTTCCGTCCAATCCGTCGAACCTCCAGTTCATTCGCTCGGTGTTGAAGAACTGTCCGAATCATAAGTTGAAGGCGACAATCGAGCAAATGGACAAGTCCTGGCTTAGTTGTTGGCAAAGTGTGGAGAGTCTTCCTCTGGATGCACTGAAGATACTGCTGTCGGCAATATCAAGACTGCCGTTTTCAGCTTCAATCGCACCACCTCCTCTCCCTGCTATCAGCAAGGCGGTGAGTACGTTACTGAGCCAAACGACGCAGGATGGAGGGGACGATGAAGCATTGGATGGCAACGACGGAACTCTCGAGGGCGTTGAACTGGTTGAACGGGTCATCAGGGGCTTGCTGAAGTTCACGTGGGATCTGAAGAGAGACGACGTTAAAGAGGCTCTGGACGAGATGATTGCAGAGGCAGACACGAGTTTGAACGTCCGACTGAAAACCCATCGTCCAGCACGCGATCGACTAACAATTTTACTTAACGAGATTGATAAATCGTGGAGTATTAAGGTGAAGAAACGGGAGGCAACGGAGACAGAGCAAGGAGTGGCTGCACCCGATTGGCGCCATCCGACGGTGACGTGGCTAGCAGACTACAAGAATTTCCAGCCGGCGCTGCTTCCAAAACTGCAGCTTCCTCGTAGTAATGAAGGACGAGTGTACGACAGCAGTGACGAGTATTTCCGGACAGTCGTGGAACTGTGGATCGGCATGCCGTTCGTTGAAGGGAACAACGCGTTGTTGCCACACTGCACCGTGAAAACGGGGGACAAAGTCTGTGATCAACCACTGTGGCCGTTCCCGGAGAAGAAGTCGTCGATTCATTGCAGAAACTCACAGTGTGATCGGTTCGCGACCTTCGTCTGTGCTCACAGACTACACACCAAAGGGTATTGCAGTAAATGTGCGGGTGAATACCAGCAGCGCCTTCGTGGACCACCGTCCAAGTATGCTTCGACACACATCTATGATGGATTCATTGCCAACGTTAAGTACGACGGAACAATGTCGATCGAGCAGGTGGCTTCACGTCGCCCACCGCTGAAGCCCATTCACTGGAGGACGACGAAGCGGCTGTCTAGTCCCAACTTGATTGGAATCGTGAGACTTGCCAACCGTGAGGCTTCACTCAGAGCCACGGACGAGATTTACTGGGCTGAAATTATCTTCCAAGGCAAGAGTTTTGATGAATACAAGGCTCGCGAACGAGGGCGTCTAACGTTGCGTCTACTCCAGTATCTCGATGAACCGGGTAATGCCTTGCAGACTCACAATCCTGCTGTCGGAGATGCAGTAGCAATTATCGATTGCCAGACGTTCGTTCCAGAGTTCATTCCAGTGTTGAAAGCGCTGGAGAAGCAACGTCAGATGCCCGTGCCATTCCAGAACGGTGCTTTACTCAACCTGTGCCGCCATGTGAGCTTTGGACCAAGCTTCGACTCACGAGCAGCTCATGATGACAGCGATAGTGACGACGCTGATTCCATTATGGAAATTGCTGCTCTATCGACGCGCGTATTGATCCGGGAGGTTATTCAACTGTCACTACTGGATCCTATCATTGATATCCGCCGAGATGGAGCACTACGCAGCCGGTTGGAGAGCTCATTGCTGTTACTGGTGCAAAACGCGACCCTCGATCCCGGTCAGCTGAGGAGCTTTGCAGAGGCGTTGATGTACCCCGTGCATTGTACTCAAGGTCCACCCGGTACTGGCAAGTCTTACTTGGGTGTCATCGTTGTGCGCGCTTTGCTCATCATTCGTGACTTGTGGAAGCTCAAGAACCGCGAAATTGGGGATCCTCCTATTCTAGTTCTGTCGTACAAGAACCACGCGATTGACGAGTTTCTGCTGGATCTGCTGCGATCGGAGCCTACGCTGGACCATACCTCGAAACGCGGCGTTTACTTTGGGAAATATTACCTCAATAACGGCTTCAAGAAGCTCGTCAGAATTGGTGGAGGATGTAGTGAACCAGAACTGGAGCCGTATCGTGAACGCAATGTTGCCTTCTCCGATCCCAGTGTTCGCGGGGTCTCCAAACGGATCGAGGATTGCCAAGACCTACGCGACCAGTGGCACAAGTTCAGTGACTGCTTTACGCCCATTCATGAGGCACAGACAATTGTCGCTAGCGGCACAGAATCGTTAAGTCCTGAGGAATGGAAAACTGTCCAAGGTGGAGTTCCAGCTGTGTCATCAGCAGTGGCGATGTTGCTGAAGCTGACGGAAAGTATGAACGTAGACATCAACGGCAAGGCGTTGGATATCGAAGACACCGAAGAAAAGTTTAACGAGAGTGGTGGTGAGAGTCATGACATTGTGAGCGTGGCGCCAGCCATCACTGAACATCATTCTTTGATTGAGATCGTGCAACGAATGATGGTGGCGAAACCGATGTTGTCTAATGCTGATATTGCAGTATTGCACGAGGGTATCAAGCACTATGACCCTGCCATTGATCCCATGGAAGTGTTGTACCAGTGGATTTCAGGGTTTTGTCCGCTCCCCGCGTGCACGTACTCCGAATCGTGCTTAAACGTGAGTTTTGAGGCGAGCAAATACTGTCGAGAGCATTCATGCAAGTTCACACAAGACGGCGAACATTTCTGCCTCGACGCAGTTGTTCAGAAACGGTTGTTTTGTGAACGCCACTTGTGTTCAGCTGAAAAATGCAAGAATTGCCGGATAAATGACGTCCAACTATTTTGCGAAGAGCACGCTTGCTTCGTGTGCTTGGCTCGAGACGAGAAGGCTGGCGTTGCTGTAGAGGAGCCACCTCGGAACGCGTGCGACCGGCATACACTTTGTTGGGGTCTTGATGGAATGTGCGCCGAAGTTGCGGAGCCCAACTCTTCTTACTGCAAGATACACGCCGAAGATCTGTATTGCAAGTGGATACTGAAACAAGGCGAATCATGCAGCGAGATTGCCACAACAGGAGAGTATTGTGGCAGCCATCACACCGAAGCGATAACGTTATCTGAACGCATGGCTCAAGCAAGTACTGACAACTGTATGGCAAAAACGAGAAAGGGGAAGCCATGCAAAGGAAAGCCTTTATCGGGGTCCAATTTCTGCAGAGATCACGTAGGGCGTAGCAACCTACCAGTAGTCCCAGGAGACTTGCCTGTTTTGAAGTCTCGTGAATTGTTGTTGCCGAAGGCCGATGTCCAAGAGAAGACGGAAGAGGAGACTGAAGCCCTTCCAACAACGGATGCATCTCTGGAATGCCTACCTCTTCAGCCATCCGAGCTTGATCAACCTAGCGTGGAGGAAGCCACAACAATTGACACAACAGCGAGGAGTGACGATTTGTGGAGTTTAGATAGCGACGAGGACGTGGGCGATTTTGTGGACGCTGTCCAATACGACAACGAGGACGAAGTGGAGGAGTCCGAGCACTTGCAGCATATGCGCGACGTTTTTGAAGTCGAAGACGAAGACGTTGAAGAAGAGATCGACGTCGAGGAGTTGGTGGAGGAAGAGAAGGCTCCGTGGACATCTTCGGATCAGTTGATTCGGCCCCATGAATGGCATTGGGATATGACACTCGAGGAGCGGTGGAACGCTCTCTTTTCCGTTTTGAACTTGTGGGGTGATCTTAACACGCGCTTGCAACATGCATTCGTCAAGCAGCTCGAAGATCTGAAAGTGGAATTGCAGCGCGAGATCCTTCGTGCGAATTCTCGTGTTTACGAGGGCAAATCTGTGATTGGAGGAACGATCACGGGCTGCGTGTCTCGCCTTGAAGCCATTCGAACGACTAACCCCTTTGCAATTTTGGTTGAAGAAGCTTCAGAAGTGATGGAACCACTTCTAGTGTCATGCTTCAGCTCATCTACTCGGAAGCTGGAGATGATCGGAGACCACATGCAGCTTCAACCTTCAGTTATGGGCAAGATCGACTTTGAACGAGTCAACAAGATCAACATATCGATGTTTGAACGATTGATTAGTGCACCACGAGGTAATGAAGTCCCGTCTTCAGTTCTGTCAATCCAGCGTCGAATGCGCAAGAATATCTGCGATCTTACTCGCAGTTTTTACGACGAGATCACGACGATTGAAGACCATGAAGTCTGTTCAACGAAAACCATTGGAGGTGCCAAGAGGAGTCAGGGAATGGTACCGCTGCTGGATGCCTGTGAAGGTGGAGGACGAGAAGTACCTGGTGTATCTCCACATGTTTTCTTTTGGACGCACTCGGGTAGACAGGAGCGAGCGTCGGTCGGCCTGTCCCGAGTGAACCAACAGGAGGCGAAGATGACGTGCAAGTTGGTCCAGTATCTCGTCCATTGTGGTGTGCCTGCTCAGTCCATTGCTGTGCTCACTCCGTACAAGGGTCAGTTGATGCTGATGCGGAAGATGCTGATGGATATGTATGGTCTCAAAATGATGACAAAGGGACAAGATCCGCGACCTGTTCCTTCGTGTTTCTTGTCGACTGTAGACCGTTTCCAAGGCGATGAAGCGGATATCGTGATAATTTCGCTGGTGATTGACGGCAAGTCTCGCACGCCGTTCGTGAAGCTCCAGAACCGCATGATCGTCTTGCTGAGTCGCGCACGTTTGGGCATGTACGTCGTGGGCAACGTCGAGTACTTTGGCGAGACGATACATTGGAAGAAAACGTTCGAGCTTCTTGAGAAAGACGCAGAGTCCGACAACACGGAGGCACTTGAGTGTACAACACACAAAGGAACACGAGTCGGCGCTGCGCTTCCGATCTGTTGTCCGGAACATCGAGAGTCAGTGGCTTTGGCAAAGGACGAATGCGACCTAAAGCTCGGATTCTGCACCATCGTGTGCTCAGTTGAACTCTCATGTTCTCACGAGTGCGGCCTCATGTGTCACTGGCCTCAAGTGAACAAGCATAACAAGAACTGCAGCGTGGAAGTTGAGTCACCGTGTAGACGCCACCCGCGCATACTCAAGTGCTCTGCTGTGACGGGTTCGTCGAAACGTCCTATCGATGAGTCTCTGAAGAAGTACCAGTGTGATATTAGCGTGGACGTGAGTCTTCGCTGTGGTCATCACCAAAAGATGAAGTGCTACTCGCATACTGAGATTGAAGCTGGACGGTCTTCATGGCCTGTGTGCAACAAAGAAGCCATCATGCCGTATGTATACCCTGAGTGTAAGCACATTCTAAAGTGCACGTGCAACGAACTCGATCGGTATTCCAAGGGCCACGCTCCTCCATGCACAGAGAAGGTGGAATACACGCCCAGTTGCGAACATACCGTGATTCAATTGTGCCACGATCGCCAGGACTATATTAGCCAAATGCGACGATATACCTGCAAGGAGAAGGTGAGAGTGTCGTTGCCTCGGTGTGGGCACGAGACGGTTGTCGCCTGTCCTGCAGCTGAGCAGTTGCAAACATGGACTGGAGAGCCCTGCCCAACGATGGACTTTGTCGAAGAAGGAGAGTCGTACGGCCCGAAAGATTACTTTTGCAAGCGAACGGTAAAATTTCAACGACGTTGTGGTCACTATGAGATGGTCAGATGCGAGCGAGCGTTCGAGCTGGCTCAGAGTCCGTCACGTTGTCAGGAACAAGTTGTGGTGTCGAATCCAGAGTGTGGCCATGAGTGCTCTATGACCTGTTTCGAGGAGAAGAGACTCCATCACAAGGTCGCGCAGTATTTAGGAAATCCAGACGATATTGAACCGCTAGACACTGTGAACGAAGGCGATTCCAGCAACTACCACAGCTATGGACTTAATGTTCATTGCACCCACGAGGTGACGTATGCTCGTGCTTGTGGTCACAAGACCAAGATGAAGTGCAGTGAAGCTCGTCATATTATTACCAGGTGCGAGGAATTGGTGTCTGCTTCGTTACCGATCTGTGGTCACGTGGTGCGTCTACCGTGTCATTTAAACAAGCACTTGAAAGGATGGCAACCATGGCGAGCGCAGACGCCTTCGATCCAACTTTTACACGACGACAGCGTGGTGGAGGACACGTTGCTTCTTCCTGGAGCTCGACCGACTGCTTTGAGATCGGTGCTAAAGAACTGTACAGCTCCCGTGCGATACCGTAGGACCACGACGTGTGGACACGATGTCGAGATGAAGTGCTGCGATGCGTTTAAACTTCTGCAGGACAAGGAAACGCCAGCCCCTTGCAGTGTTCGGATATTGAAGCAGCTGAAGTGCGGCCACGATGCTGCGATGAAATGTTCGGATGAAGTGGACAGCGTTGTCTGCGACGAGTCTGTTGAGAAACCCTGCTGGAATTTCACGAGCTGTGGTAGTAAAGTCACCGTACCGTGCAAAGCGTCAGCCAACGCTGTACAGTGCACGACGGAATCGGAATGGCAGTGTTCCCAAGGACATTCGTTTTCGCTGCGATTGTGCAGTAAAGGATTTCCGTCAGACTGTCCGAGTTGCTCGAGTACACGCTTGGATACTGTGATCAAGGACACGCAGCGCGTCTTGAGCGATACGAAACTCAATCTGTGGTCGCCTGAAACAGCTCGAATTCTTCCCGAAATGACTGGAGTGACACATATTACCATGAGTTTATCCAGCAAACGAGAATTTCTCATTCGGAAGCTAAAACTTCTGGAGAGGTTCAAAACCGGCTTAAGTTCTGGGGTAGAGTGGTCTAACCCCCTCTTTTTGCCGCTAGAGATCCCAATGTTCGTGGTACTAAACCGAAAGCTACAAGGACAAGAGATTGACAAGTTTGAGATGAAGGATTTTGGAAGCCAGCAGACTTTAAACGGAATCGAAGTTTACGAAGCCACTCAAGAGAATTTCGAGCGTGTTGTGAGCGGCAAAGCATCTATCGTCTTTGGCCAGCTTTACTCTGCAAAGTCTCTTGAGAATCCTACTGATATCCCTAAAAACAAAGGGAAGAACGGGAGTAACATCCGAACATGGGTTAGTCGCCAGTCATCGCACGGGTATGATGCGCTTTATCGGGATGCGAAGGCTGGTAAGAAAGGTGGCGCTTGGATTGTTTGGCATCCTTACGCATTGTTCCCCGTCCATCGAGTGGAGATCACGGATGCGAATCGAGAGACTATCATGAGCTACCTGTCGGAGAAAAGCCAAGTTAATCAGCAGCCTTCGAAGATTTCTTTCAAGAAGCCGACAGGAGTCACGACCGGAGATGAAGAGAAAACCGCTATCAACCAGTCACCCACCGTTATTTCGGACGAAGATATGGACAAGCTACGGGTGTTGGCTGCATCGGTGAGCCCGTTGTTCGAGAAGCTGAACGTGTGGTATCCATGGGATGGAAAATCTCTATCAACTGGAGCTGCAGAGGCGATCCCGCTGCGCATGGAGAAGACTCTAATCTCAAAGTTGAATTTTATGCCGGTTAGTATATCCGACTCAACGCAGTCCAAGAATCCATTCGGTGGCATCAAGTACGTACAAAATCTACAGTCTCAAGGAAATTTGAAAGAAGATGGCAATTTGTTCTTGGCGCTGGAGCTGCTCGCTGTTCGGAAGCAGGATACCAGCGAGACACGCTCAAAACTGGAGGAATACGTGACGCGAATGTGCGAGACAGGTGGATACGCTCACCCGCTCGTTATCGTAGCTCTCGCACGCTTAGCGGTTCGCTCAAGTCAATCACAGTCGTCAAATGTTCAACGAAAACTTCTTCAACTGTTCTCTTCGCTGTATACCGAAGCCAGCAGCTTGTGGTTAAATGAAGCCGAACAGCGGCTAGTACAAACCACGATGGGCCAAGCTGCTACATCCGGTCCTGTCGTCTCCGGTTCAGCGTCCGTGGAAGACAAATGGGAGAGTTTAAAGAGCCAATATGGCTGTCGATCTGAAGCAATGGAAAAGCTTCTGAAGCTGGTTGGACTAAAGAAAGTGAAACAAGCAGCGGTGAATATGTTCAGGAATGCGATGATGTTACAGCAGCTATCGGCGAGTCAGCGCAAGAAGAACGCGATGTCGTTTAACTATTGCTTCATGGGTAATCCTGGTACTGGAAAAACTACAGTTGCTCGCTTATTCGCCGAGATCTTGAAAGACTCGAGGATTCGCAGAACCAATATGTTCGTGGAGTGTACCGCTCAACAGTTAAAGGACGATGGCGCTGCTGAATTCCGCTTGAAACTTAACAAAGCTTCGGGTGGCGTTTTATTCATCGACGAAGCGTACGAGCTGGACCCTGTAGGCGATTTCAAAGGTAAACCGATTGTGGCCGAGTTGCTGACTGCAGCTGAAGACAAGCGAGACGATCTCTCTATCATTCTCGCAGGCTATGAAGATGATATCCAGAAGAAATTGTACGCTTATAATGACGGTTTGCCGTCACGTTTCGAAGAAATAATGTTCGAAGACTTCGATGCAAAGGAGCTGGAGGTTGTGTGGGATGGCATAGCGCAAGATCGTGGCTGGGAGTACGAGAAGGCTATCGCAAATGTGGCTTGTAGACGCCTTGTTAGAGCAGCGGGACGCAAAGGGTTCGGGAATGCGCGAGCTGTCCGTAAATTATTTGATCAAGCAGTGAAAGAGGCCATGGCACGCGAGGACTTTGACCGTACTCTCAAGTTTAAAACAGTGGATTTACTGGGAGACCGGCCGTCGACGAACCCGAAGTTGCAAGCTGTACTGGACGAAGTGGAGGAGAAGACTGGATGGCACAAAATAAAGGAGGAAATGAAGAAGCTGGTGCAGATCAGTGACGAGAATTACGAGCGTGAACTGAAAGGCCAAGAAACGGTACCGCTGTGTCTCAACCGATTGTTCTTGGGCAATCCTGGCACGGGCAAAACAACGTGTGCAGGATACTATGGACGTGTTTTGAAGGCGCTTCATTTTTTGAGCAATGGTGAAGTCGTAAAGAAGACAGCGGGTGATTTTATCGGCAGCCATGTCGGTGAATCGCAAACGAAGACGTCGCAGATCTTGGACATGGCGAAGGGTAAAGTGCTGGTGATTGATGAAGCCTACAACTTGAATGACAACATGTACGGCAAACAGGTCCTGGACGTGCTGGTTGAGAAGGTACAAGGTACAGAGAGTGACGACTTGGCTGTGCTATTGATCGGGTATGAGCACGAGATGCTGGAGATGTTACGGACGCAGAACCCCGGTTTGATGCGACGCTTCCCCCCACAGTATGCCTTCCACTTTGAGGACTACACGGAGCATGAACTGCTGGATATTCTGGAGTGGAATTGCGCGAAACGCAGCGTGACGTGTCCGTATGAAGTAGCTGAGGCTCTGCTCAAGCAGTTGGCGCTCCAGAAGACCCAGCCGAACTTTGGCAATGCTGGTGCTGTGGAACAATTGCTGAAACATGCAATGGGCAAGGCTATGAGTCGTCCGATGGTGAATGGATTGACCGTATTAACACTGGAAGACGTTGGTGTCGATGTATCTGGATATAAATCAAAGGAACAGAAAGACCCAATCCAGTTGCTGGATAAGCTGTACCGCATGGACGAGATCAAGGAACAGTTGGTTCAGCTTCGCAACCAAATGATCGTTGCAGACCGTGAAGGCTCTGGACTCCCAGAAGTTGGCCACTTTGTATTCCGTGGCTCTCCTGGCACCGGAAAAACCACGGTTGCTCGCGTCATGGCGGAGATTTTGCATGGTATGGGTGTCTTGGCAACGACAAAACTCGTTGAAACTTCAGGATTGGACCTCACCGCTCAACATGTCGGACAGACAAAGCAGAAAGTGACGGATAAACTCGGCGAAGCGAAGGGTGGACTGTTGTTTATTGACGAAGCATACGAGTTGGGCAAGGGAACGTACGGAGAGGAAGCCATGACGACGTTGGTGGCTGCAATGACGGATCCTTCGTACGTCGGTATGGTCATTATCATAGCTGGATACCCGAAGGATATGGACCAAATGTTGGATCGCAATGTAGGACTGAAGAGCAGATTCACTCGGTTTATCGACTTTCCTGATTGGGAGGCACAAGATGCAGTGGTGTTCTTGAGTGAGAAGGCAGAAAGCGAGAACTTTGAAGTCGAAAGCGAGGCCGTCTTATCACTGCAAAAAACGTTCGTGGAGCTTAAGAAACTGAGCAATTTTGGTAATGGGCGAGATGCAGTTCGAGTCTGGAAGGGGCTGCAACAATGTCGATCTCAGCGAGTAGTGAATGAGCCCGAAGAGGAGCGAACCATTACGGAAAGTGACGCTGAACAAGCAGGTGAAGCCATTCTGGCTGCACGCAGAGGTGGCGGTGTTCCAGGTAAGGGCGTAGCCGACGAAGATCCAATGAAGCTGCTAGACGAACTGTATCGCATGGACCAAATCCGAGACCAGTTGACTCGCTTGAAGATGGAGATGGCAGTGGCAGAGCGGGAAGGCTCGACACGTCCCGAGATCGGCCACTTTGTGTTCCGAGGCTCCCCTGGTACAGGAAAAACGACAGTTGCACGTGTGATGGCACAGATTCTGCATGCAATGAGTGCGTTAGGAACGACGAAGTTCGTCGAGACGTCAGGGTTGGATCTAACTGGAGAATGTCTAGGCCAGACGAAGACGAAGGTAACGGAGAAGCTTGTGGAGGCCAAGGGCGGTGTGCTCTTCATCGATGAAGCGTATGAGCTTGGTAAGGGCATGTATGGCGAGGAAGCGATGACGACGTTAGTGGCTGCAATGACAGATCCTTCGTATGCGGGGATGGTTATCGTGATTGCAGGATACCCGAAGGATATGGACGTTATGTTGAACCGCAACGCTGGTCTTAAAAGTCGATTTACCCGCTTCATTGATTTCCCGGACTGGGAAGCGGAGGATGGAGTGGCATTCCTTCAAGCGAAGGCTGACAAGGAGGATATTACGTTGGGACACGGAGCTGACAGTGTACTGCAGCAGATATTCGTAGAGCTTAAGAAATTGGATGGATTTGGAAATGGTCGTGACGCAGTGAGAGTGTGGAAGGAGCTACTGCAGTGTCGAGCACAGCGCGTGTACGACGAGGTTGAGGAAGTTCGTACGATCACAGCAGACGATGCAGCGAAGGCAGGCGAGATTATCCTCGCTGCTCGGCGTCCACCAGATGGACCAGTGCTCTCGCAATCGTCTGTACCTAGCGACAATTCGATGGTTAGAACGCAAGACCAACAACCTCCTACACAGCAGACGCTGTCCGAGTTGGTTGAATGGTTAGAACCTGAACAAGTAACGCTTGAAGAGGAAGAGCACGAAGCTCTTTCAGCTGCTGCTGAGATGATCGAAGTGGATGCTGAAGAAGACCCAGACACGGATGAAGTTGAGAAAGAGCGCAAGGTGGAACGGGACCCTGGTGTTTCGGACGAGGATTGGGAGGAATTGGAACGCGCCAAAGAGGCCCATGCAGCGCATCTGGAGGCGCTAAAACGTGCTCGTGATGAAGCGACGAGGGAGGAAGAGAGACGGCGTGCTCAGGAAAAGTTGGAAGAAGAACGACGCCATGCTGCAGCGATTCAGGAGAAAATTCGTCAGATTTGTCCATGCCCAGCAGGCTTCAACTGGTACAAGTCTGGCAGTGGGTGGCGTTGTGGCGGAGGCAGCCACTTCGTGTCTGATGCACAGCTGAACAGCCAGTTTACACGTTGATGGGCAAGAAAAAGTAAAAAAAAAGAATACAAAACAACTATTAACCCTTTGTTAACGTTTTATCTTGGCATTTATTTCTCTTCTTTTTTCTAGAGGAATGTTGGTTGGTTTTCTCAGCATAAAAACTGACAGGAAATCTGGAAGACGAGGCGACATATTTCTTGCGTTTTGGTTTGACCCTGAAGGTAGCACGGCGCGTCTTAAGATGTATTCCCGGGCATCTCGGTTAGTTTCTTGCCAAAACGCTGTATCATTTCATCAGCACTCTCCACCTTGCCGAGGTTTGACACCAGCGTTGCTGGCTCCAGCTTAGCAGCTAGCCAATGGTTGATCAGATCATCCTGCAATTTTGCGGCTAGTTTCTCCGTCCTGGAGTTTTGCTTTGCTGAACTGAGCAGTGGAACTAGAACCCTGTCAATGTAGTTAGCCCGGAGGCCCTCGATGATTGTCTCCTTCTGGTGGGGATATCGTTTGTTAAACTCGTTCAGATAGCTGACCCATTTTGCGAATTCTGTGCTAGCCAGAGTTTCGTGTCCTGCTCCGTGGAGGCGGAACATAGCGAACATCTTGGCTGGAGTCGTCTGCGCGTCTAGATGATGCTTAATTCATGCACTCTCCGTCTTTCTGACAATTTCCACTGTGCTTGGATTTTGCATGGCCTTGTTGATCATGGAGGTAATATCAACGTCTGCATAATACGTACGAAGCACTTTGAACCACGACTCTTGTTTCTTTGTGTTCTCCTTGTAGAAACCTATTGCGTAATCCATCCACTCCTTGAACAGAGGTTTGCTGAGAATGTTGTGTCCTATATCAAACCCTAGTAGCCGAAACAGATATTCCACTCGCGAAAATTTGCTGAAGCGTCTCCATCTGTAACTTCGCTGCAGCGCTTTCCAATTTGGGGAATTTCCTGGCTATTGCAAGGATTCGAAGAAGAGCTTTGTGGGTTTCACTGTTCTTTTTCAAATATGTGAACACTTCAGACACCTTGCTGGGGTTGTCAGTGACGACGGTATTCAGGTACGAGACCCAAATGCTGAGATTGGATCTGTCGGAGAAATCATACCTTGACAAGTAAAGTCTCAGTATCCAGTAGACATCGTCAATAGTCTTTCCACTGCTCAACCATTTTTTAAGCAGTGCAGATTCCAGCTCCCTGGCGATATCATCCGTATTCTCATTCTTTTTCGCTGCAGTAACCATCAAAGCCAGCTTGTCTTCCCCATACATCCGCACGAACGTCTCGAACATTGTTGTTCCCTTGTCGGGATATTTCCTGTTGAAAGCATCTGTGTACTTGATCCAAGTGTCCAACGCCGGGTTACCCAAAATGTTATACGTTGCTGTACTAAACCCGAGCTCAGCCAGTGCATTATCTGGAGATTTTGCAGCGTTTAGCCAGGCGTCAATCAGATCGTCCTCCACTTTGGTGGCGGCGCTTTTGAATCCTTCCACTGCTTTCGCTTCTCCAATCAAATGGACCAATATAGGATCGTTTAAACCCTGTTGCTTTCTCAGCGTTGAGATCGTCGATATGTGGGCTTCGGGATGTTTTGCATTTAAGTCGTCTACGTATTTGACCCAGGCAGGGAAATTAGGGTTGATGAGAACGCTTGATAGTAGCGGCCAGTGGAGGTGGAACAATTCATATACTTCGTCCGGATTCTTTCGATTGATGATCCAATGCTTCATTTGCTCCGCTTGAAGTCTTGCTGCGAGTCTCTCCATCCCTGCGACCTCCTTGGCCTTGAGAATCATTTCATACAGTATTTCGTCTCCGTAGTGGGCAATCAGTATCGAGACCGCAGACACCTCCTCCTTGGACAGTTTATTTAAATCGTCGACGTATCGGATCCAGGCACTGAATTGGGGTTCAGAGAACAGCGACTCGGACTTCTTAAGACGCATGCGTGTGAACACCGTGGCTGCAGATTTTCTCTTGTCGAGCCAGCTCTGAAGCTTCTCTGGGGTCACTATCGAAGTTGTAACCAAAGATTTGAACTTTTCTATGATTGGCACGGCAACCCCTCTCTCCTCGCTGTGGTTATCGTCAGTTCTTAAGAACCTCGCAGCATAGACAGAGGTTCCTCTCGAAGTATAGGAACTAACTGATGGGAAACCTTTTGACTGGGTTGCGTTGACGCCTATGATGAAAAAAATGACGGCAGTCACACCTACGAGGACGCGGAGAAGCATCGTATCGGGGAGCAAATTGAGAAATGAACCACAGATACAGATAACAACCGTAAGTATATCCTACGAGAGTTCACGGTCACCTTAACCATAATGCGTTTACTGTACGTACCGCAGTATACATGCACCTGGTCCGGCCAGTGATTACATTACAACAAAGAAATGTATAGATAAAAGTAATTCGTCGTCTTCAATTCGTCACGACGGAGTAGTGGGGCGTGCGACACAAGCTCTATTTGCCGTCTGAAGCGTGAAACCCTCTCCAACCTGAACGAGCTCTGCTGGAATGTAGTAACCACGAACTGCCCTTAGCTCAGCGAGGCCATGTGTTCGGCACTAGTGGTAAACCACATGACCAAGGACCTCTCGATTGCGTTAGAGGTCGAACCAGATAACCATTTAGAAAGTGTGCATTGGTGGAAGTGGCTGGCGTATGGGCTGTTCTCTCATCGTGCTCGTAAGCACTCAATTCTAGAACATCTAGTTCTAGATTCTGTCGGCCACTTGAGTGTGGAAGACGCCGATAACTTCGCCACTGTTCTGCCGTCTCCTCATCTGGAAGAAATTCTCATTGACAGGGCTCATGGATTGGTTCATGAGCGAGACGGCGCTGGCAGTTCGATGCACGAGGTCAACCTATTGAAGACTTTTATCCTCTAATATTTGATTCCCCTTTGCTATTTGTTCGGACCTTCAGAGTGGATTAACTCCATGATTTCTGGTTGTGGACGGTGTCAGGTTCGACGCCAAGATCTGGAATTTTCAACGGATTCGGACGGTAAATGTACCGAACCGCCGGGAATTACGTCTCTAGAGATCAGATTTCGCTGAAGCTGATGAGGGTCTACCGAATTTATTAGAGACTGTGGGGCCTTCGTTGAGAATTTAGACCCTTCAAAGAAGACGAGAACTGGTTGGTGACGCCTTGATCCTTCAGAGCTGCCCCAATCTCCTGGAATTGAGACTCCATGGATCCGTTGTGGACGTTTGCGCGACTATCGAGCTAACGATCAGGTGGAGCTTCCATCTGTCTCGTGTATTTGGCAAGATGTGTCCACATTATCGCAAGAGTTGATGAACACCGATAGTCTTCTCACTAAGTGCGTGCACCAAATTCGCGTCCGTTTAGCGACTAAATGGCTGGCCGGTGCAGTTCCTCATCGGTCCGATACAACACGATACAAAGCGGATTTGAATGCTCTATTGCAGATACTGGAAGTTAACCGTTCATTGAAAAGAGCGCTTGAATGTGATCGTACCTCCCATATATGCTAACTTTGCTAGCAAGTTTACGAGGTTTCATGTCCAGCCCATTGACCGAGCACGATTCAAGTCAAGATTGCGTTTCTGAGTGTGGTGGGGCACCAGAAAACAGAAAAAGCGGGTAGAAAGAGAAGCCGTAAGATGTCACCGTCGCTAGGCAGACTGGACCAGTTGATGCTGAGTAACATTTTCGTTTGCGGTCCCTCCGGTGCTTCGACAAGTGTTGTTTCGTTCTGAAGAGGAGTTCGACTTTGAAGGGTTCCCGAATGATCCTGATTGGGCTTGATAGAATTTTCGGACTGATTTTAGTTATTATCTTACAGCATCCAAGTGTTTTTGGAGAACTTTGTGAGCTGAAGGCACGAAGGCACAAAAGAGGCTAGTCACTTCATTAAACAAGCACTTACTAGGCTTATGCACGCAATGGGATTTTTTTCTTGGACATCAAAGTCTAAACTTTTCAGCTTGCATCCGACGCGACATGGCTGCCGCAACGACAATCCCAGCCACTGCAGGACTTGTACCAGTTGTATTCTGCTGGGCATGGACACATTTGAGAGATAGACTTTCTTCTGAATCGCTGCAGTGTGATGCGCCGTCTTTCTTGCTCTTGTCTTGCTTGACCACGAGCACCTCTCGATACGGTCCCAATTCGTCCCGTTCCCATCCAGACCATCAGGGCCCCGTTCAACCTTGCAATCTGTTCAGCTTCACCGATGTCTGGATTTCTTCAATCACGGCTTGAATATCTTCTTTCTCTTCCAGCAGCTATTAAAACGTGATTTGTTCGGACGCTTACCCTTCAATTCTCAGATAGTAACGACGGTTGCTGGTTTAGAGACGGCAGATGGACAAAAATGTCTGTCCATCGGTGTGCCATAGCAAGCTGTTGGGAGCACGAGAGGCGGAAAGCAGTGCCCAGACCACGTCGAGTTCAAATCAATGCCATTCTGATTAAATAGAATGTTGTTCCAACAATTTCAGCTCCCAAGTATCAGCGCTATTTGATCTCTACTTTCCTTCAGGCACTATATCCTAATCTTTAAATTTTCGAAACGATATATATTCATTTGCACACGTTTTCCTCGGACCTCAAGAGTCCCTGTACAGCAAGACTAGTACAAGTATAGCCGGCTCAGAACCACATGGACGAGTTCTCTCTGCGTGTGGAGAGCATGCGTGCCTGACGAGTCTGTCGACGGCTATTGCGGATGATTTCCATTGTCACGATGGCCTTTTGCAGGAATTCCGGCACTTGGATGGTCTTGTCGGCAGCGCGCAATAATGGAGGGAAGCCGAGCTTCTTGGCTACCAAATTGCCCAGCAGCCGAGCGCAACGTCCGTTACCGTCATGGAATGGGTGGATGTAGAACACTAGCACTGCGAATGCGTAGTAGGCACAGAGCAGCGGACGCTGCTCCCAGTTACTGGTATCGTTAAGCGTATCGATGAGTTTGTCCAACGCGTCCTCGATCTCTCCAGCTGGGATGAACACGCGATAGATCCGAGGAGAGGCGTATCCGACAGCCAGATCCGTTCGCAGCACGCCAGCCTGGCCGCTCGAAGCCGGGAGTAGACACTTGTGCAATGCAAATAGCTGCTCACGTGTGATTACGCACGAAGTGTCATGCATAATCTCGTTGATGACGTCCAGCAATTGTTTACGCGGGTTATCCGTCGAATTCCTTCGGGTTATGGGGGTATCGTGGGCAGCGCCGATGGCATCGTACAAGTCACTCGAAGTGAATGTGGCAGGTTTCGCTCCGTCGCGACAATCGGCCAGTTCTGCCTTCCGCTCGAAAGCATCGTACTCGGTCTCGAGTTTCTCCAACAACTATGCAACGTACCGAATACAGTTAACGTGTGAAGGTACAAAGCAGTAGTCAAGCTTACCTGTTCAATCTGGCGGTATACAGGAGACTTGGGGTTTTCTGCGTGTCCAAACAACTTCTCACCTGCCAGAAAGAATGTAAGTATTAGCCCAGATAAATTACCAGATAAATTACGAGAAAGTTGTGACTCTTACCGTGTGGAGATTTTGAAGTCTTCGTGTGGAATGGTGCCAGTTTTGGTGCAGCGGGTGTTGCAGGGATCGGCTCTCGGCCAGGATGGATGTGTCCTGCAACATAAATGTTAGAATTTTATCGGGAAATGGTGCTTTTATTCGACTCACCTGGGACATTGTACTTGCACAGGACGCAGTCTGGGGCAGAGGGTGCAGGTTCTGTAGCTGTTGATGTCGCTGAGCCGTCATCAATCTCCATATCGTCATTGCCAGAGCTTTCGTTATCATCATTCGCCTTATCGTCGCTTGGATTTTTCAGATATCTCTCCACATTGTGAGATAATTCATGAACGTCAGAGAATAATTCCGCCTCTGTGGGACTCACAGTATACAGGTACTGCAAATAATACTTGAGATGTCCCAGCAATGCCCACTTAGTTCGGATCTTGCCATCACACTCCTCAATCACACGCTTAAGAGATGAATCTTCGCTCTGTTTATCAGCTTCACCGTGACCATGTTCATGCATTGCCTCATTAAATAGTCCATTCTGAAGCAGCATGACCAAAGAATGCAAAATCGGAACCACAGCAGCGTGATCTTCGCTACTCATCGAAGTTGCCAGTGTATCCACCATGTCAAATAAACCCCATTCTAGCGCTAGTGGAATTGTGTCACAAACGTTCACTAAATTTGCAAAATACAGCAGTTAGTACATTACAAAAAATGAATTAAAATATAACAATACTCACAGTCTTCGCGCTGAATCGACGAGTCTGTAAGCTCTCCATTGGTTGTGATTGCATTGTCCAGAGTCTGGCAGTATTGGAATCGAGGAATGCGTCCGACGCCGAGCTTCGAAGACGCAGCGCTTTGCAGATCCTGGCGAAGTGTGGACAGAATCATCACGGAGCGCACAACGCGCTGGATACGCTGCAGTTCGTGCTGATCTTCGGACAGCACGCGGTCGGAATACCACGATAACACAGCCACCGTGGACATTTTGCAGATCATCGGAACGGATACCACCGTTTGGATGCCTGCTTGTCGAGCGTGTGGCAATAGAAAGAACTGAGACTGCTGGGCTGCGTGTAGATCGAGCCACTCCGGGTGTTGGCCACTGAAAACGTCTCCGATGTGACCCTGACCGGGATCAATCATGATGATGGACGACACTTTGCGGTACTTCTGAATAGCATCGCTCCACAACGCTGCAGTATCGATCGGCTGGTTCTTAGATGCCCTAGGAGACAATATTCCTCCAGATTTATGCTGTCTTTGAACAGCTAAATTGTTTTTCTGCCAGATACTGTGTGTCACTAACACGCAATTGTTGTCATCGTCCAATACCGGACAGTGCACTTGGCCCATCAACCACGGATCCTACATACAAGTGTTAGTAAAAAAATACAAATATCTAAAAAAAAATAATTTTCATGTACCCTTGTGATAACTCGAAGCGTAAACTCCAACGCTCCAGCCAGCGTCGCGTTGTCGATATGGTCGACTGCAACTGTCGCACGGAATCCGCTCTCGGTAGCGTGGTTGGCAATGAGAAACTTGGCCAGTTCATTATGTGCAAAGTCGACAGCGTCTGATAACGGGGACGAGCCCCATCGATCCAGTAAGTTGACATTCGCTCCGCAATCCACCAAATACTTGGCAATCTGCAAATGTCCTTCCGCACTTGCGACGTGTAGCAGCGTGCGTAGATCATAGTCCTCCATATCAGGTCGTACCAATTCTGGGACCAATTGCTTGAGTTTGTCCATATCCCCTCGCTTGGTGGCTCGAAATGCTAGTGCGATATTGTGTTCGTCCTCGCTGCTCTTGATGTGGCGATTTACGAGTTTCTTTTTCTGGTGGGCTCGCAGCATCTCTGCGATGGCGAATTGCTGCTTCTCCAGGGCTATGCTGATAGGGGAGCGTCCTTGAGAGTCCACCACATTAGTGTTCACCCCGGCAGATAGTAGCAATTCAATGACGCCCAATTGTCCGTTCTCCACCGCTACATGCAGCGAGGTGCGTCCGAGCTCATCTGTCGCATTCACCTCCATGCCGCTGAGCCATGAGCGCTTGACTTTCTCCGTGTTTCCCTCCTGCACGGCTTGGAAGAAAGAGGAAACGTCAACATTGGACTGGATCCTGCGTTTGCCACAGATTTAGTAAGTCAGTCGATTTCAACGTTGCCCTCGAGCATTTCACCACTGACCGTCTCAACCCCTCGGTCTCGTCAGTTGAGGGCAACTTGCTGCCATCCTCGAGCAGCGAAATTTTGCCCCTGCGACCGTAATTTTCACGTTCCAGGACCCGTAAGATGGCTACATTTTTCGTCTCGACGGCGCAGTCGATGGGAGATCGCCCCCAGCGGTCCAGTGCCTCCGCGTTGGCTCCACATTGCAACAGATAGTCTACCATCTCCAATTGCTCGTCACTCACGGCGATATGCAGCGGCGTTCTAACAATTTGAATTGAAAATACGGGAAAAGCTGAGGTTTTGAGCAACGCAGGAGAGAAAAGATTGGTGCTCTACCGCTTGTCGTAGTCGGCAACGTTCACGTCGGCTCCATGCTCCTCGCGCAGCCGACGCATCGCCTCCAGGTTTCCCTCGGACGCGGCCCAGCACATTGCCGTGGAGTGCATGGCGGCGCCAAGACTCGCACCAAGCTCCATGCTGCTCTCGGGAATGTGACGATTACGGTTGAACTGTGCCGATTATGGCGGAGCCTGTCTAAGATGATCGTATCAATGGATATCTGATTGAGCCGGTATTGCATCTTCAACTTGCGCACGATTCGATCATGGCGTGTTTAGCCTTAGCCTCACAACACGCCAGAGACCAGGAAACACGATCGTTCTCGTGACGAGACTCGTCCTTCTTTAGAGCAAATGGCTTACACAGAAGCTCGTTCTTGATTAATTGCAGTGATACACTTGCATTTCATAGGTTTCCGCAGACTCCCCCGGTAAAACAATCCCCCCACTAATAACATCGATAGACGAACGCCACAAGACTCAAAATACTGCCACAGAGCGATGCAAGTTATCAGTTCATCGCTGCTATCATCAGTGATGAACTCTGCAGCAAAATCCTGCTATCGATGAAGGGAAAGTGCTGCAAACAAGGTTTTGTGTAAGGATCCACTCCGCTTAATTCCGATGTACAGTGATCTAAGCAGCCTCGTCACAATCGAATCCGCCTCCCAGTTGCCAAGCTCCTTCACGCCATGTCGACCCCCGCCTTGTCCGGACAGCCGCAGTTGTACATCTACGACCACTGCCCGTTCTGCTGCCGTGCGCGCGTAGCTCTCGGGCTCAAGAAGGTCAAGTACGACGTTCTATTCCTGGCCAGTCACGATGAGGCCACGCCCATCGGCCTCGTAGGCTCGAAACAGGCTCCGATCTTCGTGCCCGTGGGCGAGAAGCCGTTCCCGGAGAGCTGGGACGTCGTTAAGTACGTGGACGAACACTACGGCGACGGCCCCATCCTCAAACCCGCCTCGGGTCGCGAGGATCTGGCCAAATGGTACGACACAGTCATGCCGCTCTTCACGACGCTCTTCCTGCCGCGCTTCCACGCCGCGCCGCTGCCTGAGTTCACGCTTAAGGAGTCTCGCGACTACTTTAAAAACAAGAAGGAGAAGAGCTTCGGCTCGTTTAGCGAGAACCTCGCTAAGTCCCCGGAGATCGTTAAGCAGGTCAACCAGCTGCTCAAGGAACTCGAGCTTATGCTGCACTCGAACCACTCGGTCAACGCCGAGCTGAGCTACGACGATCTGGATCTGTTCGGTCGTCTGCGCGGTCTTACGCTCGTCAAGGGCGTCGAGTGGCCCACCAAGGTGCGTGAGTTCCTCGAGTATTTCTCCGAGGCTGGCGACGTACCGCTCTACGACAACGTGGTCAAGATCTAAAGAGATATGATGGCTACTGGCACTGAAGACTGTGGTATCGTCTACGTAAAAAGAGTCACTTGTTGAGAGATATGGCTTTACTCGGGTCTGAACTTGTTGGCCTTCTTCATCTTCTCTACCAGCTGACGATCCTCTTCAAACCGTTCACGAAGTGTTTTGAGTTCTGTTTTAAACAAAAATAAAAAACACCTTTTGGTAAGCATCTCACGACATGAGTACAATAAAAAACCCTGTAAATCAACGTACGATCTCGCTTCTTCTCGCGCGTCTGGAACCTGTAAAAGTTGTCGAGCTCCTTGCTCTTCTGCTTCTTGGCAGGTCTGGCCAGCACCTCCTCCGTCTGCACAATACCGCGCTTCTTGGTGTTTACTACCGTTTGGAATCCGTCGTCATCCACCTGGCTCTTCAGCTCCTCGCGACGACGCAAGTCTTCCGCCTCCATCTCGTCGAACGACGCCATGTAGCGGTCTGTCATCTCCTTGATCACCGATAATCCCGGACGGTTGCGACGGTACTTGGCCGCATACGCTGCACATTAATTATCAGCGTCAGTACCTCATTGTCTTCTTCAATTGAGCGCAATTTACTCCACCTTGCAGTCCACAGGGTTTACTCGGTGCAGGCGTCTCCAGAGCGTCCGCCTGTAGCATCTTGTCCAGCGATTCCTCGGTTTTAAACACTACGTGGGCCGTGCGGTTGACCGCGTTTTCATTTAAATCATCTTCTTCCTCGTCTTCTTCGTCGAATAGACCTCCTGATCCCGCTACGACGTGCTGGATGGCGCCCAGAGGCTCCAAACACGCGCGCAGCCATTTCTCAGACGCATGAACAGGCAGATTCACAACGTACGCGGTGCGACCAGTGGCGAGAACGGACTCAGTATGAGAACCAGGCTTGGCGTCGTGCTGCTTGGCGTAGATGAAACGCTGGAACGAGCTGTGCGGCAGCGGTAGCGCGATGGCATGGTACCCGCCGAACACCTTGGTCGACGCCATGCTATGTGGGTATGATGTTGACTGGCTGAGCTAGTGGTGTAATGCGATTGGTGGAAAAAACAACGGTACACTGTACCGCCTAAATGTTTTGAGCTGGAGAGTATACGGACCAAACAAGACTAAAAAGCTCATTATGACTAAAGTGATCAAAAAGCTCTTTGAGGCGGCGAGGAAGCGGTGGTGACGTCGGTTGATGCGCTGACGGATCCTCCGTATATTGGGGTGGCTGTCATGATTGCAGAATACGCGAAGGACGTTGGGATACCGCAGGTCTCAACAGCCACTTCACCTGCTTCATTGATTTTCCAGCTTGGGAAGCAGAAGTTGGAGTGGCATTCCTTCAAGAAGGCTGACAAGGGTGACTCCAGTCGTCGCTGTCCTCGCCTGAAAATGCCCCGAAGTCAGGACACGGCTCAAAGGAAATTCTCCATCGGACATTCGTAAACCTCAAGAGACTGGATGGCTTTGGGGAGTGCCTGTGACGCTGATCGAGTCTAACAGTAGAAAGAACTACTGCAGTGTCGAGCACAACGAGTATTCAGCGAGGTGTGCTCGCCCAGCCGAAATAGGAAGAAGAACGGCGTCACACTGCAGAGATTCGGGAAAGAATCCGTCATATTTCTCCGTGCCACTTCGTGTCGACAGCCTATTTACTCGCTATTGTGTAAGCAAAACTAATATTGACCGTATACATTTACCGCGGGAGATCAGCAAAACTACTTGTAATTGTTCATCGCTTGGAGCATCGCGTAGACACCAGTAGCGATGAGTGTGAAGAGCAGTGTGCCGTACAGAATCTTCAAGCCTTTCTTGATAACAGGCCACGCCTTGGGGTTCTTGTTGACCTCTTTTGCCACTTCTCTCGAGACAGTCTTGATCTGCGAATTCGAGAGCGTCTCGGTCTTGGCGCCAGCGAACTTTTTCGTGCTTATCTTCGCCTTTAACTTGCTGACCAGACCCCTCGGTGACGACAACGAAAACCCTCTCTCCTCGTTATCGACACTCGCCAGCCATTCTTCGGCTGCAGTTAGCTTTCGACTGCCCTTGAGATGGTTGTCACCGTGGTCGCCTCTGATCTGGACGCTCCTTTCAGCGGTGGTGAGGCTTGAAGCCAAGGTGACTAGCACGAGGACCACGAAGACTTGGAAACGCATACTCGGACCTTAGTGACCTTGTGCTCGGCTGCCACTGATTCCAATAGTGAACAGGAAAGTCAGTGCGAACCAGAACTATGGTGAGTCCCCATTGGGGACACCAAACCCAAGATTTGACGCCCCTAATCCGCTCATTTAGCTCCTTCCATAGGTACAGTTTACGGAAGGCTGTATTAATACATGTATAATTGCCGAATATTGTATGCGAGTTTAACTTCTAAACCCACATACCAGTTTTTGGAAGAGGAACCTCTCAGGCTGAGAGGTTCCTACGCTGAGAGTCTCAGCGTACTCTTTTTCACTACCGAGAACATCCTTGTGAGGTGAACACAACAGCAGCAACGTATATATCGATCATGTGCAATAAATACTACTACTAACTATTTACACGTTCGTCGTCTGTCTCTCAAATGGAACAGGGAAAATGCTCAGCAAGACCCACGCTGGTAAGCCACGAACGATAATGTAAATCGGCGACGTTATAGTACTACACGATAAGCTGGTGTGACAGCAGACGAATTGCATTTTGTAGACCTGCATAACGCATCAGCCTGTTCATAGTGTAAAGCGGTTCCGTAGACACTGTAACATAGTCTTTGTAATGCTTCCTGTGGGCTTCTGGTCCATTCAAAATTCACGCGTGCCCAGGAGCCCCACACTCTTTCTCCTCTTTTCCAACAAACACGGGAATTAGCAGACCGTCATCGTGCAACTCGCAGCCACCGCAATACAGTAACAAAACGAGCATGCGTGCTATCTCGTCATAACACTAAAGACACGAACAGCTCACAAAACTCAGGTACAGTCACGTGGAGTGGTCCGCACTGGTAAAGGAGGAAAAGCGTTGTTTACTAACTCCACGCGTCCATACAAACCATTCAACCAGCCAACAAAACCACAGCAACGTCCACCCGACAAAGCGGGGAGTGTAACATTTAGAAAGTTACTAGTATTCTTCAGAAAGCATCGCTTCGACACCAACAATGATGAGACCTGCCAGGAGGGCGCCGTACAGAATTTTCAGACCTTTCTTGATCATAGGCCAAGTCTTGCGGTCCTTCTTCACAGTCGTCGCAACCTCCCTCGTTATTGTCTTGACCTGCGCGTTATTCAATTTTTCCGTCTTCACAGTGCCGCCGGTCCGGACACTTCTGAGTTTTCCTTTCATCTTGTTGACAAATGATCCACCGCTCAGTCTCTCTTCGGTGTTAGTATCCGCTAGCCACCATTCGTCCGCCGTGGCCAATCTGCGGCCGTCCTGTACGTTGTTGCCACTGTCGACACCGCGGATCTGAGCGACATTCTCGGCGCTGGTGAAGCTGATGCAGGTCGCCACGAAGGTCGCCACGACCAGTGCCACGAAGACGCTAAGGCGCATGTTTTAGACTCGTTTACAGACTGATTTCACCCCTGAGCACTCCGCAAGCCGATTCAGAAATGAACTGTACGATGGAACATGTGATGGGAATCCCATCATGTGATACCTCATATGGTAAGAGCTCGTCAACTTAGTTGAGTCTCGACACAATGGTTGCTAGCCAATTTAATCTTTGCTACCACCATATACCCTGTCAAATGTGTTAATCAAAATCATGTTATGCAAAACAAACAAACCTATAAGAATCGATCCCCTCAAATACTTAATTCTTTTTAGTGTTGAGAGATCGTATTTGTGGCAGATCCTGACAGTCAGGACGCTAGAACGACAGGTGAAGAAAACGGGTTGAAAAAGGCTTATTATAATAGTGGAGGCAAGACAGATTACAATCCGATCGGCTATCCATTCATCACAGCTCAAGAGCGAAACATGTGTGGGAAATGAAAGCCTACTTCGTGCGTTCTGAATCAGATGCCCACAATATTTGCTCAAAATTTTTAATCCACAGAATACCCATATAATAGGCCACAGTCGCAAAAGTGAGATTTTCGCGAATTATTGATATATTTGTGATTTATACGGTACAACACTATGGAACGAAAAATTGCGTTTTTACAGTAAAAGCGCATAATTAGTCCAAGCCGTGCTATTGAGTGACTCCTGCAATCACAATTTTTATGCGTACTATTTGAGAAGGAGATCCTACAGCGGAGCATTTTTTGTGATGCTTATTTTGTGACGTACTTCGGATTGCAACTAGAGTGATTGTACCATGACATCTTATACAATCATTCGGAATAACGTTATAATATTGCAGAGCTATAGTAAAGCCGTTCTCGAAGTCTGGACCAAGTGAAAACACTTATACTTATTAACTAAAAGTTAAGCACAGTGTGATGGTACCTCCGCGTTTATCGTGGGCTTACAGGTAAGCTGGTGAAATACTGGGGGACTGTAGGTGGTTAGGGCTGAAGCGACAGCATGCGGCTACCGGCTGAACCGTGTAGCAATGCGTTTTATTGGTGGTGAAAATCACTCTTTTTATTTAAAAAAAAATGCTGTCCCCCTCAGCCTTGCCGCCCTGTTACGACGACGGCGACGCAGGCAGCAAGATCAACGTGAGCCCTCCGCTCAGCGTCGAACGCAATATCGTTTTGCAAGAAGGGCTTTGCTGCCACCGCATATATCTGCGTTTTAGCGGCTCTACGGGTCAGGGTGCAACCAGTCTCTCATCACACTGACTGAGTTCCACCATGCTGGCTTTCGCTATTTACTGGCACGTTTTGAAGATTTCTACTACCAATACTCGCTGTACTTTGTTCATGGTTCGATTGTCAAGTTGATGCCAACGACAACGAGGTCTGGGAGACCGCGCTCGATGACAGCAGATCCGTGCTTGGCGTTGGTGCAAGCGTGGGGGCGCTCAGCTGGACCAGCGTCATTCTTAAGCCTGGTATTTGGTGTGAAAGCATCAGTGATTTCTCTCTTTCTTCGTTTCGGCAGACGCCTGTTGGTGCTAGTTCTGAAGAGTGACACCAAAGCTCAAGTTAATTTGTCAACATCAGGTGAAATAAGTGTTAAAGTGGAACCTGAGCCGTGGCACAGTAGTGACGTGCGTCGAGCAGCTGCTCGATACCGCGTGAACTGACTCTGTCATGTGCTAGTGGATGGCTCCGAGAGCCCGAGTGCAAGGAAAGATAGATAAGGTAGATAAGGAGATCAATCTCACTCCCTCTTTTGCATTTGTCTTATCCAGTTAGCGTTTATCAAGTGCACGCACGGTCTGAGGATCGGCGTCCAACAGGTTTTGAGCCCAATGAACATTGCCAACGCCGGAGAGCCACGCACCGAGGCACCCGCCCCAGCGCAGCTACCGGCAACCAGCCACAAAAGGGCCGGTTTTGCTGACGACGCAGAAGAGAAGAGCAATGTCGCCGCTCCGAAGAGGGCAGCGACGACAACACTGGTGGCCACGCCCCGGCTACTGGTGACAATGGGGGGGGGCGATCACATGTCGAAGATGTTGACGCTCATGGAGGGCCTGGCCGGTAGACTGGAGCGACTGGAAGAGTCGCAGACGAAGATGGAACAGAGGCTGGCAGACGACAACAAGTGCGCGCGCGACACTGATCAACCGATGACACCTCCCATGAATTCCAGCCTGTTCGCATCACGCGTGGGCAGAGGTGCCAGGATGCACCTGGACTCTTTGGCTGGATCCCCGAGCACGCCACGCACGACACCTCCACGGAGACCTGCAGTGGTACTACTCTGTCCAGAAAAAGTCGCACGAAAGTGCTTTTCCTAATTTCTATTCGCCAAAACAGTGTAGACGTGTTTGTAATTGGTAGAAATGAATTGTGCGTCCGCTGTGCTTCTCAATGATGTGCTGGTCTCGCCACAGTCCGCAAAATTGGCTCTGAACCAGTCAAATTTATGGCGATTGAGGGGCAACTCCGCCCGTGTGAGAGATGCACATTTAAGGTTTCGCCCACTCCCACCTAATCGCCCTAATGCCCGCCTCCAAGACCAAGGAACTAAGCGAAGAAGACCGCTGTCGTGTTGTCTCGACCACCAAACAGCCCCGATCTGAATGTGCTTGATCTGAGGCTGTTTACTGCAATCCAGTCGAGGCAGGAACAGCACCTAACTCGAGACTTTGATGAGCTCATTGCAGTCGTCGAAACTGCATATTGGGAGCTACCACCGTCTACTATCAAAGCCGCATTTCTAAGTTTGCAAAAACGACAATGAATAAGTGCATCGAGGAGAAAGGTGGGAACGACTTTAAACCTGTTCACATGAGGAAAGCTCACCTGGCGAAGGAGGGAAGACTTCCCCTCAGCATCCGATGCTCGAGTACGGCTGCTGAGGTTCTGTCTCTATCGTAGGGATTTGAATGTATAATGAAATCAAGTAATTTGGTGGTGTAAAGCCGATCCGTGCAACTTTTTCGGGACAGAGTAGTACCGCAGTTCTTCGGTCAGGAGCAACCCGCGTACGGCATTCACATGTCTGAGCTTCAGCGTTTATACTCGGCTGTGCAAGCGCGTGGACCTGTGGGTCTGCCGATGGAGCCTCGTGCGCCACAGCTGCAGCCTGGGGCCCAGCGATTCCCGGTGCAGCACCAGAACGGAGTGGAGATCCGCTACCCGGACGCGAGACAGAAGAAGTTGGCCATCCGGCCGTTCGACAAGAAGGAGTTATACGTCGGTCTGGGCTCGGGCTTCCTGGAATGGGGCAAGAGATTTGAACGTCAAGTGAATATCGCGCAATCGGCCTGTGGGTTCGCATGGCCAGAAGACGTGAAGTGGATCTCTTGGGACACTACTTGTCCGGAACAGCCGAGAGATATTACAACAAACAGGTCGACGCCTGGTGGAGCCAGCTGCCCACGCTCAAATACGTGATGGAGAAGATATTAGAGACCTTTAAGACCAACATCACGCCCGCCCAGGTTATGAAACTGTTCGCGGCGCCGAAGGACAGTAGGCGCACGTGGCCCGAGCATTACATCTACCTATTGCAGTCTCTGAGGCCTGTGGTGGCAGTGCCGACTACTTGGTCCTAAACAATATCGTCCAGTACGCGTCTGCGAACCTCCGTACTGTGTTAATGGCCAAGGTGGACAGCTCGAGATCCGACTACTTGCAGCAAGCTGAGGAACTAGCGCAGTTTGCACGGTCCTGGGAGACAGATCCCGCCAGACAGAGGAGCCTGGGTAAGGAGCTCGTAGCTGCGGTGGGTGAAAAACGAGGCAAGGAGAAGCGGTGCTGTCATGAGTGTAAGAAAGTGGGTCACCTACGGGCAGCTTGACCTGAACGCAGCCGAGGCCGGAGGAAGGAGCCGGGCCTTGTGCTCGCGGTGAAGGAGAGACCGGCCGAGGCCGGCGAGACGTGGATCTTGGACAGTGGTTCCAGTAGGCACCTGGTCAGCGATGCGTCGTGGCTGGAGGACGTTGAGGAATGTAACGACGTCTGCCTGCAGCCGAATGGAGAACCGCTGAATGTGACGAAGAAAGGCACGCTGTCACTGCACGTGACTGCGTGTGGCGCTGAGCGAACGGTGGTGCTGACGGACGTGTACTACGCTGCGAATGTGATGCACAATCTGATTTCGTACGGTAAGCTCGACGAAAAAGGCTACACTCTTGCCTACAGAAACGGTAAGCGCGTTGTGGCTGCTAAGTACGGAGAGACCGTGGCTTTTGACGTGCAGTTGCGCCGCAACGTCCTCATAGTGCAAGGGGCCGTGCAAAAGAGATACGCCGCCGTGCCGGACGAGATCATGGCCGTGCTTGACCGCGAAGCTAATGCTGCGAGTGGTGAGGAGAGCATGGTACAAAAAGGCAGTCTGTTAGAGTTTCACAAGCGGCTTGGACAGACGCTGTTGAGCGGCTTGCTAGGGACCGGAGCTCGGGGATCGAGATCACCGACCATCGAAGTGTCAACTGCCTCACTGCGCGCAGGGCAAACAGACAAAGAATCGTCAGTCACACAAGGACACGGGTGAACACTCACCGATTGACAGGGTGGGTGGGGTCATCTGCTCTGACCTCAAGGGCCGATGACACCGAGAGACCGGCTTGGGAACCGGTATATGGTCAACTTTGTAGATCACAAGAGCAATTACTGCTGGGTGTTTCTGGCCGGCACTAAGGATGCAGCAGCCAAGCTGTCCGAGCACTTTCTTGTGTATTTCGAGAAGAGGTACGATTGCAAGATTCATGTGCTAAGAACTGACTCAGGCGGGGAGTATCAGAACATAGATCTTTTCTGCAAGAGTACGGGAGTGGCGAGGCAGAAGAGCAAAGCACGCACCAAGCTAGCAACGGCAAAGCAGAAAGAATGCATCGTACAATCATGAACATGGCGAGGTGTATGGTATTTGCCTGTGGTCTTCCCCTGAGCTTCTGGGGAGACGCAGTGCAGTACGCAGCCTACATCCTGAATAGATCGTCGACGAACTCGAATCCCGGGCGCGCCTCACCGGTGAAGGTGTTGACAGGGTCTGCGCCGTCACTGGGTGGGATAGTGGTATTTGGGTCTCCGTGCACGGTGTACAGGGATCCATCGAACCGGAACTTCTCTCAGCGTGCACAGCAGGGAACGATTGTGGGTATCGGGGAGGAAACGAAGGGGTACCGCGTGTACTTGCCTAAGGATAAAAAGGTAATAACGACGCAGCACGTCAGGAACATCGAGACTCTGGATTAGACTCAGAACGAACAAGTGCGGAGGCTGTACCTGAGATAGGACAACACCGTCGGTGAGGAGGAGCCTGCGGGCGATTATTGGTGCTTGAGTTGACTGCTGAGTTGATGGCAAACTCTGCGTTCGCAAGATGTACATCCCAGTCATCTTGTCGTGGAGATACAAAGCAGCGGAGATACTCTTCAAGAGTTCGGTTCGTCCTCTCCGTTTGACCATCACCTTGAGCCCGGTACGCTACCGTCATCTTGAGCTTGGCTCCCACATTGTCGAAGACTTGACTCCAGAATCCAGAGACAAACTTGGTATCTCGATCTGACACGATATCCTGTGGCATACCGTGAAGCCTCCAGATGTTGTCGAGGAACAGCGTCGCGACCTCTTGCACAGAAACTGTCTTCGTCGTTGCGATGAAATCTGAACGCTTGGTTAGTCGATCCACGACAACCCAAATCGAGTTCTTCCCGGTTTTTGTATCCGGTAAGTCCGTGATGAAATCCATCGAAATCGAACGCCATCGTTCTTTTGGAATCTGCAGAGGCTCCAATCGCCCAGGGGCTCGGTCAATCGAGGTTTGTTCCGTCTGCAATCTTCACAATCTGCGATGTACTTCTTGATCGTACGAACCATTCGCGGCCAATACCAGTCAGCACATAGCTTCAGATATGTGCGATCGGCGCCGGAATGCCCACCGTAGTTAGAATCGTGTACTTCGGAGATGACGCGATGCTTTAGCGCCACCACGTTTGGAACGACAATCCATGGCTTCTCATCTGTTGTCCCTTGGTACCAGATCAGGTTCTTTTCCTCAAAGAACGTCTTGTATTGCTTCTCAGACGTACCACGAGAGTTCGCTGTTGTACCACGCCTCTTGATCGCGCATCGAATTTCTCGAATGATTTTGTCCTTAGCGTACCCGTTGATAATCAACTTGGTCAGTTCATTTGTTGGGCGAATCTCGGTAACACGAAGTTGGTAACTCGTCTCGTTGAAGCTTGGGACGAGTAAATCGTGGAACTCCTTCGTCTCAGGCTTAAGATCTGGTCTTTGGCTCAGTGCGTCCGCGATACCATTCTTCGCTCCAGGTAAAATATGCGAAGACCGGCTGGTACTCTGCGAGGATGTCGTACCACCGGGCTAACCGTCGATTCGCCATCTTCTGCTGGAAAATTCCCTCGAGTGACTTGTGGTCCGTCTCGATCATCACCGGTCGATCCAAACAGTAATCCGAAACACCGCCAATGCGTTAACAACCACGAGTAGCTCCTGGTGCTGAGTTGGGTACTTCAGCTCTGCGATTGGCCGCTCGATTCCATCGACAACTTGAAAGAGAACACCACCCACAGCGAACAGACTTGCGTCCGTTCGCAAGCGCATCTGCTTCGTGAAGTCTGGTAAATGTAGAACTGGTGTATCGGATAGTCGTCGTTTTAGATCCTTGAAGCTCTTCAACTGCACTGCATTCAGTGTAATCTTCGAGTTCCGCTGGTTTTTCTTCTTCAACAGAGTTAACAGTGGTGCCGTCAGCTCAGCATACTGCTCACAGAATCGCTGCACGTATCCAGTTAAACCGAGAAAGCGGTGGAATTGTTCTTGGGTCCTTGGGACCGGCCAATCGCGAATTGTCTGTACTTTGTCTGGGTCGATACGAACTCCGTTTCGGCCGATAAAATCACCAAGACACGGGATCTCTTCAGAGCAGAACACACACTTGGACAATTTCACGTACAACTTTTTCTCCTTGAGTATCTCCAGCACGTCGCGTAGGGCTTGCAAGTGCTCGTTGATGTCCTTCGACTTCGTGAACCGTAGATATCATCGTATAATGATCTGGTGTGCGACAACCCCTTGAAAAACGACGACGTCAACCTATGCATAGTTGCAGGCGCATTGCTGACTCCCATAGGTAGCACCAGGTATTCATAGAGACCGCTTGGAGCTTGGAACGCGGTGTACGTCACATGACCCATCTTCATTCGAACTTGGTAGTACGCTGACATTAAATCCACACACGAAAAATAGTAAGCGCCAGCCATACTGTCGAAAACGTCTTCCTTGCGCGTCATCGGCACGCTCTGTCTGATCGTGTTGCTGTTGAGGTACCGGTAGTCGTGAACGATACGCCATCCCACGGGTTTGCGTACGCAGAATGTCGGTGCAGCGTGGGGGCTGATGCTTGGTCGAATCAGCTCCTTCGCGATCATCTCCCGTACCCACTTGTCGATTCCCGTCTTCTACTCTGGCGAGAGATGCCACCGCTGCCGATACACTGCAGTGTTTGGGTCCTTCACGTCGATACGGTGCTCAATGTCGCGCTCCATTGGTAGTCCATCGGGCAACTCCGGCTTGAACACATTATCCTTGTACTCAACGAGAATAGGGTATGCTGGGTTATCATTGAACGTCTCCCAGTCCGTGTTTAGGAATCGCCTGGCCTTCTCGGACCCAAAGTTGATCGGTTCATCATTCCTCTTAAGATCTCGTTCGATCTCCTTGATCGTATCGTTCGTTAGCACAATCACTAAGTCGTGTTCCGGTTGGTCCTTTGCAGGTAACCGTAGGAACTTCCGAAGCTTCTTCCTAGTGATGTATTTGATCTCAACTCCTTCCGAATCAACCACTCCGAGAGTAAACATTGCTTCAGCTCTAGCGTTCTTCTTCTCACGCTTCGAGAGCTTCTCCACGTCCTCAGCTGGTCTTTCAACGCTTTCAACTTCGCCCTCCAGCCGTGTTTCTGGCACGGCGGCTCGACAGGAATCACGGCTTATCGCGGAAGTGCGTTCGTAATCCATAGCATCGTGAAGCCCAGAGCCATTAGCCAGACTGCACTTCCCACAGGGAGTCGAAATGTCCGCCGTTGAGGCTCCATCTGAGACGCATACCTTGAAGCATCGATTCTTCCAGTCGATATCCGGATGTACATTCACAAAGAATGTCATCCCGAGAACACAGTCAAACTCCTCAGGAATGTCGAAGACAACTGCTACACACTGGTAATTTGGGACACCTTGGAGTAGAATCTCGATCTTCATCAACTCCAGAATAGACTCGCCAATCTTGTTGTCGCCGAGCTTCACCTTGATAGTCCGGTCGGTGTAAGCGTGTGTCTTCAGCTCATGCTTCTTGACGAATCCACGAGACACGTATACGGTTGTGGCACCACAGTCCAACAGGATCTTGGCACCGAAATTGTTTACACTCTGTACCATTGATCCTTCAATCGAAAACAATGGCGCACGAGTGTAGACGAGAGGGTCTTCGCAAAGCAGATTCAACGTATCCTCGTTTACGGTTAAATCTTCTTCGCTAGCCTTCGCCACGTCAGATCCCTCTTCTACTGGCGTGGCTGATCGTTTTCCTCGTCACTCTTCAGCTTCTTGCAATCACGCTTGAAGTGCCCTGGCATCTTGCAATAGTAGCACACGGGTCCTTCCTTGGCTTGTTCCGCGGGAGCGTAGTGACCGGTCTTGAAGGACTTCTTGCTGAACGGCTTCTTGTTGTTGGACGGATTAGAGCTTGCTCGTCCGCGGGACTGTTGCTCACGCTCCGGATTCTCGCGGGTCGGTTTGCGCTCGCCACCGAAATGAGACATCTCATACTTGGCAGCATGGTCCATCGCCTCACTCAGCGTCGTCGCGTTTTGAAGCTTAACATATGAGTCGCACGCTTGAGACCGTCACAATAGTAGCTGACTTGGTCGACCTCGCTCATGTCCTCAACGCAGAAGATCAACGACGAGTACCTCCCATTGTACTCTTCGATGTCACTGACCTGGCGGAGTTCACGTAGCTTCTGTCGTAGCACCGCTTGATAGTTGGAGGCTTCGAAGTGAGCGAGGGCAACCGACGGCACGTCTGCATATGCGGAGGTGTTCTTGAGGCCCAGAACAGGAACCATCCTGACGCAGGTTCCTCCATCGCCGTCTCAGCGATCGAAGGCGGCGTGTAGTTGTCGTCCGTCGCGTCGTGACCGCTGATTCGGCACAGGGTCTCCACTTGAAAAACCACTAGCGCACATCGTCGTCGCGCTTCCCCTTGAACTTCGGCAGGCAGCTCGGAACGCGAGCCTTGGACTCTATCGGCGGTTGACGCTGCGCTTGATTGTTGGCTTGGAGGGCTGTAATCTCGGCACGTAGCTGTGTGAGCTGCGCTTCCAGCTCGTCTTGTCTCTCTCCTCCCGGCGGCGCGTCTTGATCGTTCTTGCGCGTCGCGGGGGCCATGATCGGCGAGTCTAGACCAACAAGTGCTATCAGTGTATCAGACTGGCCCCTTGTCGGAGGAAGAGGAGGAGGAAGAGAGTCTTGAGGCTGGCGGGAAGAAAGCAAAAGTGTGCTGGTCTCCCCGACCAACTGCTCTCAACCAAACAGTTGGTTGAGAGAGCCCTATATTATTTAATATCAATTCCTAAAGTGATATCTCTCTATCTCGATACTATAGGCTATTGATACAGTATCCCGGACCTAATACAGATTTTAGTCCGAGTTTTGGTGTTTTCGTGTGAACTACGTGGGTAAATCGAGTTTAACAAGAGCCCGAAGTGTCCTTGGCCGTACTGTTAGAGGGGTAGGTCCCTGGGGAGCAGCCAGATTGCTACCACAGAAGGAAAAGTGAGGCTGCCACCACTACCTGCCAAAAGGTCAAATTGTTCTCTTGCATAAGCACATTCTGTCCAATCACTCCACTGCTCTCCGAAGCATCAGTAACCTCTATCGATAGCATATCCGCGATAATAGATTACCGATAGCTTCTCCACCACGTATTTTAAAGACAGAATTGATCTGATTATAAACTACATTAGTGTGGACAAGAAATTTAACCTGTGGTAGCAGCAAAGTCCATTTTAATTTTGGTCCCTACGTATTTATCGTTTTGAGTGTGACTTCTCCCAATCTGACCCTAACTATAATCTCTGTACCAGCATAGGATCATGTTTTGTGTGTACCACTCCATGGCACATGTTTGTGATGATATGTGAGGTGATCCCAAGGTGATATCACTTTTTTAAGCCTTTGCAAGGGCTAATTTGCTGTTTCGCGAAATGGATAAATTGTTATAGAGCTATAACACCTTCACTACCAGAGGTAAATGGATTAGCTGTTAAGAATTAATGTTCTGTATGGTCGAAATGCGGCTCTCTTGTCTATCAATCCTTCGTTTTCAAGCCGTTGTGCTGTAACACTTACGTACCCATTTGTTTGCGTACTTAGGTAGCCCTTCGTACATGAATTATATATATATATATGTATTATAATTGTATACGTTTGGGACACACCTTCCACAGATCCTCTGAAGTTGTACTGAAGTTGGTTGTTATATCCAATATTAACAATGTTCGTACGCGAAAATGTAATGATTGATGACATTTTTATTAGTTCCTCTGATCTACATGGTTAACCGAGAGAATTTGGATCAATTAGTCGGTAACATTAAATATAAGCTCACCTCGATCAGATCGTGTACGGATTCTTTCCGCGTGTGTCGTGGTTTGCGCGTGTGCAATTGAGGTTTTCGGCGTGTGATTTTTTTTTCGGCGTGTGATACTACCTCATTCAAATTTTAACAGTGTGATCGTACTAATAACGGTGTGGCATTAGTTAGAAATCCGTAAAAAGTAAGTAAACGATGGAATGGTTTAGCGCAAATTGTGAACTGCGGAGCTCAGACAAACGCATAGCAAGGGAAAGACGGTGATTGGGTCATTTTTCATGGAGAACACTAGCACGTGAGCTAAAGAGTCGAGCTAATACACGTTAATCCTTGTTTATAACCTCCGATACCATTATTTGACTCGTACATTAGCGGCACAAAAGGCTTCGTGCAAAATGCACGACGATTCCAGTGCATTTTCTCATTTCGCCGATTTGACTTGGATTTGTATACTTGCAATCTTTCGATGTAGGGAATTCGTCGTTCAATATGCACGACAATTTGCTTAGAAACTGCTATTATAATTAATCTGAACGACGAATTCCCGAGAAGAACAATTTATACGTCTCGTGAGTAGTGGTGGCGACGTTATCGTTATATCGTTAACTAGCAAATAACGTTATCTGAGCTAAGTTAGTTGGATTAACTACACCATAACACGGCTTCCATCTATCTACGCCGACGTGGTGGCGACGGAGGAAGACGAGAACAAGGTGGTGCTGCCGACAGTGTTGCCAAGACGACCCAGGCCAAGCTGTCGGCCACGAAGCTTGCGGTGGTAAGGAGATCCTGCGCTACGTTAGCGGCGTGGTCAAACCGGGCTCCATGCGCTAGTGTTGGACCAGCCCGGCTTTAGCAAGACGTCGCTCATGAAGGCGCTGAGCGGCCGCTTTGTGTTGGAGAAGGTCGTGACGGTCGCGGGCGATGTGGTGTGGGGCAGGCCAACAGGCCAACATCATGCGTGTCTGCCGCAGCTGGTGGCGTACGTGGAGCAGCGCTACAAGCTCTCCCCTACGCTAATGGTGAAGGCGACGCTGGAGTACGAGCAGCGAGTACAAGTGTGTGACCACCGGCAAGATGGAAATCGGCATGAAGTACTTCGAATACGTGACGCACAAGCACGGGTCTGGACTGTTCAACATCGTACGACATCAACAAGACGTAGCGCGGAGTCACCAGTAAGATGCAGAAAACCGTGGTGGTCGCGCTGCTTGATCTGGCGCCGAAGGTGTTCGAGGTGTTCGATGAGGTGACCATCCTGAACGAGGGCGAGATGATGTGCCGCGGCCCACGCAAGTAAGCGATGGTCCGCTTCGAGTCCTTGGGCTTCAAGCGTCCGCCTGAGCGCGACGTGGCCGACTACCTATTGGACCCGGGCACGAACCCACCATACTTAAGTACAAGTACGGGTTATCGTAGATGGCGCACCACCCGCGCCTGGCGAGCGAGTTCGTGGAGTACTACCGCGGCTTGAGCATCCCTGCGAGATTCTTGCTGCTCTGGAGGTTCCGTACGACCTGGAGCTGATAAAATGTGGGCAACGACATTGACCTGATGCCGAAGTTCCAACATGCGCAACACGGCGTTCCGCAAAGGTCGCGGTCCTATGGTGATCGTCAGGGGTCTGATCAGCGCGTCGATGTTCTGGAACGTGGACCCGGTAAACGTGCAGGTTCAGCTGGGCGTGCTGTTCCAGGCAGTGCTGTTCCTGTCGCTGGACGAGGTCTCGCAGATTCCAACGTCCATGGCGGCGCGCGACATCTCCTACTAGCAGAGCGGCGCCAACTTCTACCACGCGTCGTACGTGCTTTCGTGCTCGGCCTCGGTCTCGCAGATGACGCTGCTGTTCGCAGACATCATCGAATTCGGCCGCTGGGCTGGTGTAGTGGTTGCAATGATGTGGACTACTTAACGGAGTTCGGCATGAAAATGGTCGAGTACTACCTCTCGACGTGCCGTCGGCAAAGACATGGATCATTTACGGTATCATCTTCATGGTCGTGGTATTCGTGGGTGGTGGTCACTACATGTACAGGAGCGCCGGAACCGCTGGAGTATAACTTTTACGAAAGCATGGAGCGCACGATTCTGGCCAAGATGGCGGTGGACGAGAATGAGGTCAACAGCTACGCGCTGCTGGTACTGCAAGTCGCGCCACAACAACGGTGAGATGGTCGTGGCGGAGGTGAAATATTGCGAGCGCGGGAAGAATTTCATGGTGACGGTGGCATTCCAGGTCTTGTGGTACTTGATGCTGAACCTGAAGAACCCGCAGAAGAACTTAATGAGCGACTTCAAGATGCCTGCAAGTTGACAAATACACAAGTAAGGGAAAACGAAATCCATTTTCAGAGTTACGCTGAGTTGTTGCTACAGATACATTTCGAATGGAAAACATGCAAGCTTCTTTAGTGAGGCGCCTGTGGTGTTGTAATTCCCACGGCAACTCTAGCTACTAGTGTAGGTAGGATAAACCCACAACAATACGTC